GTAAAATCATATTTTTCTCTTTTGGAGTAAAATCATATTTTTCTCTTTTGGAGTAAAATCATATTTTTCTCTTTTGGAGTAAAATCATATTTTTCTCTTTATGGGTAAAATCATATTTTTCTAATTTTTGCGAATAATCATATTTTTCTCTTTTTGGGTAAAATCATATTTTTTAATTTTTCCGAATAATCATATTTTTCTCTTTTTGAGTAAAATCATATTTTTCTAGTTTTGGGTAAAATCATATTTTTCTAATTTTTGCGTAAAATCATATTTGTCTATTTTGGCGTAGAATCATATTTTTCTCTTTTTGGGTAAAATCATATTTTACTCTTTTTAAATAAAATCATATTTTACTCTTTTTGGGTAAAATCATATTTTTCTCTTTTTGGGTAAAATCATATTTTTCTCTTTTTGGGTAAAATCATATTTTTCTCTTTTTGTGTAGAATCATATTTTTCTAATTTTTGCGTAGAATCATATTTGTCTATTTTGGCTTAGAATCGTATTTTTGTCTTACTGCGTAGAATCATAGTTATTGTTTAGATCTATTGGGTTCCCATGTCCTGAGCTTGAAAACCCTCTGATGTACTATCGTAAGTTTTTATTACAATTTTGTTTTGAATCCAGAATAATAAATTCGTATTCTGTCTTGGTAAAAGAAATTGGTTTAAAAACAAGGATTCAGCATTTTTCTCTCACAATATTCTTTTCCAGAATTCTACACACAGGATATTTTTTTATTTTTTTTCCATGCAATATTTACATACACTGGTAGTTTATTATCAATACAATGAAGACGACATTTGATTTATGAAAGCTTTCAAAGAGTATGGATACGTTAAAATAAAGAGAATCTGACAATATAAAGCTTCTCTTTGTTTACTTGTAAACAAACCTGGTTAGAAATCAAAACTTTCAAAGAAACGTCGTCTTCAATCTGCATGTATTGATATAGTCGCCTACCACTGTATAGAAATTTTAGTGATCATAAAGTGGGTCTCAATAATTAGAAAATGCCATCATCGATTTTTGTATCTTTTTAACCTAAAAATAACTGAGGTATTTTGCTAAGAAGGTCGGAGATAATTTAGGTGTAAATTTTCTTAAAAATTAAATCCTTTGGTAGCTAGTGGAACGTAGCTGCCGGTTGACGGTTGAAGGTTGTCGTTAAAATCTTTTTAATATTTATGATCAGTTTTAAATTATCTCTAAATCTGTTTAAAGAAAAACTATTTCAGTTTGTTTATCCACTGTTGATCGACGATCTCGTGAGAGATTTATTGAATCCAACAATCAGATTTCAGCTCTAGTGGAGAAATTTAAACTTGAGGGAGGTCCTTACAGGTACTGGGCTGGTTACTTCATAGAATGTTGGATATCGAGATGAATGCTTGATCCTCTCTTTTTCTTAATATCAAGACTAACCTAATCTTGTACTTGTATCCTGAAAAGTGTATAAAATTCAACCAATCAGAGTCGTGTATTACATACAGAACCGGGAGGGGCTCTCTCATATAAAAAAACTGTTATTGATTTTTCTCTTCTATATCCAAGAAAGAGTAGAATAAGAAGAAAATCAAAAGTGTGTCCGTTGGATACTCAGATTAAGTAGGCGGGATTTAGGATATCTCACTCTTAAGTTCTCAGCTCTGGGCTTTTTTAAATTTTGATTTCTACCAATCCTTTAAACAGCAGACACATAAACCTGGCGGCAGCGCCCGGACCCCTAGCCTGTCCTGGCTGCGGCGATCGGCCCCTAGCCTTTCCTAGCCGCAGCGCTCGGCCCAGAAATTGACTTAACCTAACCTAACCTTTAAATAATACAAAAATAAACAGCGTAGGTCCAATATTGCAGTAGGTCGGAAAGTGAGTAGGTCGGAAGTTCAGTAGGGGGGATGTAACATTACCCTTAAAAACAACTTATGAAGTAAAATTGGGTCCATGTACAATCACAGCGTTCATTGAAGTGTTTAATATTATATAATTTGAATTTAACATTTCCTATTCCACAGTTTTATGGGTTCCACAGTAGAAAATTAAATTTCAATGTTTAAAACCAAAGAGAATAGAATATATATTAGATTGGAATTTAGAGAATCTCTCGGTATGAATTTTTTCACTCCCTTTCACCCTGAAAGGGAGTTCAAAGTGTACAAATCATGTGAATGTTCACAAATTATATGCAGTAGAGTACATTAATACAGTATGTTCCATAGACTATCCATTTCAATTTCGAATTTTTTAAAAGCTGTTAAATAAACTTTATAAAATGAATTCGGAAAATAAAAACATCATTTGATTTATAGTTATAACGGAAAATCGTCGTTTGTAAAGTGAAAGGCATAGAGTCTATGTGAAATGATCATTGGTCAATTATGAAACCAGCTTATTTTATAATTTGGTTTTCTTTTAATGTTAATTTTAGATTTCCTATAAATGATGTTCCAGGGCCCAAAAGGTTATATAGCACAAATATGTGAAGTACACCTGCAGTATGGAAACAGTACAACAAAATGGCCGTTTACACTTTTTTCTAGTAAATTCCACTCTAATATTTATTCTATTCGCTTTGTTTATAACTAAAAGTCTGTCAATTGTAGAAAGTAAATCATGAGTAAATCCCGTAATTATGTACGGAGTTCAAAATGTTGTCTTAAAGGGAGTGACCGGCAATATGTATGGTAGTTGAACTGAGAATGTAGTATTGTGGCAAAAAATTTTATTCGTTTGGGACATATAAAACGTTTTAATGATGTATTATTCCTGAGTTTGAGCGCAAAGTTGACGTTCAAAATCATCCATTTGGGTGGTTACGTTTTAAGAATCATTTTTTAAAAATTTTCAATAACGGCGACGAAAAATGTATCAAAACTTCTACAGTAAACTAATAAGATGCTTAGGAACATTTGTCAATAAATCAATGTTAGAATCAATTATTTCTTTTTCATCAAAGATCTTCTCGTCCAACGGTGTTTTCACAAAAGACGGAGGTATAACCAGAACCTTTAACTGTCCTGAGCTGTATCTGGTATCCAGATCATTTTTAGCCATGCACTGGTACATTCCCTCGTCTCTATCCTTCCTCACTTGTCGGATCTTTAGAACATTGTCTCTTAGTTCATACCGTTCTCGGTCCTCCGGGGCTAACTTGTCCTTCTCTGATATTAGAGGTTTTCCGTTTCTTAACCAACCATAGGTTACATTAGGAATACCGAAGGCCTCACAGGTCCAAACTAACTCATCGTTCTCATCCACAAATTGATCATCAATATGGATTGTGAACACAGGACGGGATTGAATACTCAGGGTGATTTTCTCCTTAATTAAAACCTTGTCATTCTCTGCGGTGCAGATGTACTGACCCTGATCTTCTACCTGAACCTTGGGGATAATAAGAACCCTGTTGTAGTTGATTGTATAGGAACCACGAGGGAGGGGAGAGTTCTCTCTTGTCCAGTTATAATGTGGAACTGGATATCCAAAGGCGATGCATTCAAGTCTTACATCCTCTCCGGCCATCGGAGCTTCAGGGAATGATTTTGGAAAGTTCTTAGGGAACCTAAGCTGCTGATAGTTCGGATGGGGGAGAACGTCAATGGTGAAAAAGGGACCGTTCCTGCCAATATTGGAAACTGCACTTTGAACATTACAACTGTAATTTCCTCGATCTACTTTCTCTAGAGCTGTGATGTACATGTATCCGTCATATGAAACCATAACTCTCCGATCCTCTTCAACAAAATTGGGGAAATATTCCCTCGCCCAGTAGTATTTTACATCTGGATAATGGTGCGGGGGATCACAGGAGATAGCTTTACCCCAGTTCTCCCACCCTACCTCGTTAATTCGTCGCAGAATAAATTCTCCGATAAAACCAAAGGATAAAGAAACAGATTTAGACCTAATCGTACCAAACTTGTTAGTTGCCGTGCAGAAGTATGTTCCCTTGTCTTGGGTCTGATCCGGGGCATGAATAATCAGCTGACCACCAATGATTGTAATCCTGGAGTCAGACAAGGGCTCAACCTTGAGCTCGGTGAGAGTATCATTGATGTAGAGTTCCTTGAACCACTCGTAGGATGCGGGGGGCCAGGCCTGGGCGATACACAGCAAGGATATATCGTTCACGATATTTCTCCGGCTCATGTCGAATACGGTTTTGTTAGGTTGTCTCATGAAGACGGGTCCCATCGGGATATATCTGGGATCTCCCAGGGGTTGGCCATACTCCGCGGTTCTGTCGTCGTTGATTAAATATCTGATTTCCTGAAAAATATGTTATAGATTTAGATTTAATTAAATAAACATTTTGTTTTTAACAATTGCCATTATCAATTCAATTTGTTGACATATTGGAAAACTAGAATTGATTAAACCAACTATTTGAAAATATTTGGGAAATGGATTTCGTTATAAGTCTTGAAAACAATCCAAGAAAAGAAAGTGAAGACGTAATCTCCACTTAAAGAAGGAAAGGTCAGATTCACAACGTTACCATTTAAACCTTTAATTTAGAAACCACAATTGAAAATTATGAATTTTCAGATAGAAAAAACGTCAAGAGTCCCTTTAATCATAAAATAACATTATTAAAAGTTTTGAACAAAATGACTATGAACGATCCATTGGAATACCATGGAATTTTGTCGTTAAAAAGGAAAGGTTAATTTATCACAGTTTTACAACACTTTGCATCTACTATCGAGACAGGGCCTTGTTTGAAGTGTTGTTGGGTCATTTGCTCTGGGGTTGTCCTTGCAAACTTCATTATACTTTTTAGTAGCCCCGGGCATGGAAAGAAATTGAGTCTTTGCCACAAACTGATTTTCAGTCTTTCCAATCCAATGTTTTAAAGGTTTACACCATCAGGTTGCAAAGATATTGGGATTAGAAAGTTCATTTTAAACCTGCAAAGTGCTTGTTTCCATGTTCAGTTTTAAAAAAGTATTTGGCAAAATCTCACCTCAATCGGAACCTCACAGATATATAGGTATTCCTCTAGTCCGAATACAGGTTGGAATCCCCATTGTCTTCTGTCCAGGGAGAAAGCATAAACCAAGTAATCCTTCTTGTAATCAGCCTGCAGTACAGAGTACAGTACAACAACAACAACAGTATTAAGTACAACAACAGTATAGAGTACAGCAACAGTATACAGTACAACAACAGTATACAGTACAACAAAAGTATACAGTACAACAACAATATACAGTACAATAACAATATACAGTACAACAACAGTATACAGTACAACAACAATAGATTGGAAAACTCTCTTAAAGAGTTGAATGTATTAAAAAAAAAGAGGGACATGTCCAATTTACAACGATACACTTTAAAGTTTTTTTCTGATCAATAATGTGGAATTAAGCTGAAAAATGCTGCAGCAGAAATACGCATGTTACTATTGTAGAGAAACCGCAATTGAATATACTCCATTTTCAAAGATATAAATGGATATCATCCATTCGTGATAAGACAATACCACTCTGTATATCTTTACGGCTTGGACACAAAATAAGAACAAACAAATTAATGAAGAAAAAAAAGATTTTTTTCCTTTTTTTCTCATATTTCGTGTGAGAGTTAAATATTTGCCATTTAAATAACGAATTTTCATTAATTCCCATTATTATCAGGGGGAAGGTTAATATTACCTTCTTGAAACAAATCTGATAGAAAATGTGAATATTTTTCATGAAAACCCGCGAAATGTGAAACCAGGCATAAAACTTTACTTATTTTCTTCGGAACAAATAAGAAACTTTTTAGACCCGAGATCATGAAATCATGAAATTGCGAGTAAAAATGCGGGAGAATTCTCTCAAAATTGAATTAAAAAACCTGTTCCAGTTCTCCCCACTCGTTGGATTTGAGAAAGAACTCTTGAAGGTTCAGCATCTGTGATCCATCTCCTTGGTTGATCCAGGTATTCTGGTTCTCCTGTCTAGTAGAGATATACCATCTCCTGTGCTGAGGATCATTCTTGTTCAAGTAGTTGGTTATAAACCTGGAGTAAACAGATAATTAGTTATAAACCTGGAGTAAACAGATAATTAGTTATAAACCTGGAGTAAACAGATAATTAGTTATAAACTTGGAGTAAACAGATAATTAGTTATAAACCTGGAGTAAACATATAATTAGTTATAAACCTGGAGTATACAGGTAGTTGGTTATAAACCTGGAGTAAACAGAAAATTAGTTATAAACCTGGAGTAAACAGATAAATAGTTAAAAACCTGGAGTATACATATACTTATATATAAACCTGGAGTATACATATAGTTATTTATACACCTGGAGTATACATATAGTTAGTTATAAACCTGGAGTATACATATACTTATTTATAAACCTGGAGTTAACAGACAATTTGTTATAAATCTGGAGTATACATATACTTATATATAAACCTGGAGTATACATATAGTTATTTATAGACCTGGAGTATACATATAGTTATTTATAAACCTGGAGTATACATATACTTATATATAAACCTGGAGTATACATATAGTTATTTTTAAACCTGGAGTAAACATATTGTTATTTATAGACCTGGAGTAAACATATAGTTATTTATAAACCTAGAGTAAATGTTTATGGATTTTAAAAGATCTTGCTAATTAATAATCTAACCAACCATCAAACTTTTAAAGGAATTGAGCCGCAAACTCAAATTTTCTAGCTCCTATATCTTTGCAACCTGATATTTCTATTTAAGGTAATCTAAAAATAAGATAATTTTTACAAAATGCATAGTTTGAAATATCTACGATATTATGTTGCAATCCATCAACTATAAAAAATCTAAATGTGTTTATTTTGGACTATTCTATGATAAGCTTTTTTGAATTATGAGAGTTATGACTCACGTTCACTCCGGTTCAGACATAAGGATACGGATACGACTTTTTGATCTCGTAGCTCCTCTAGTTTTGATTTAACGCCCAAGTATGAGAAGTGAAAAATTTTTTGTTTTCATATTATAAATTGTGAACTTTTTTGTTCTACTAAAAAACTTTTTAAAAAGTTATGTTTTTGATAGAAAACGTGAAAACAATTTTAATTTTCTGATTCTGATATCTTTCCAGCCTATGTTTTACACCTTCAATATATATATATCGAGTATGAATTTTTTTGATCTAAATTTGAAATAAAAGAAGGTTTACACCGACAGGTTGCAATAGATGAAGATATAAGAAATTTAGTGTTTGTGGCGTGTGTTCAGTTTACTTACATAAAAAATTGTGGCTTTGTAACAAGCTTTGATTTTCTATTTCCTGTATCTTTGCAACCTGAACTTTGAATTCTGTTAGATAAAATAATCTAAGTTCAGAATATCAAACGTTTACACAGTCAGGTTGCAAATATATAGGGATTTATTTTGAGTTAGTTGCAAATATTGAACTTGTTTGACGTGTGAAGTATGATTATAGATTAATAATCTGTTTGTAAACTAACCTATGCTCCTCGACTGTATCTACACTGGCAAGATCAGCTCTGTCCTGATCATTGTGTCTGAGTGCTTTGACGTGCTAAGTATGATTATAGATTAATAATCTGTTTGTAAACTAACCTATGCTCCTCGACTGTATCTACACTGGCAAGATCAGCTCTGTCCTGATCATTGTGTCTGAGTGCTTTGACGTGCTAAGTATGATTATAGATTAATAATCTGTTTGTAAACTAACCTATGCTCCTCGACTGTATCTACACTGGCAAGATCAGCTCTGTCCTGATCATTGTGTCTGAGTGCTTTGACGTGCTAAGTATGATTATAGATTAATAATCTGTTTGTAAACTAACCTATGCTCCTCGACTGTATCTACACTGGCAAGATCAGCTCTGTCCTGATCATTGTGTCTGAGTGCTTTGACGTGCTAAGTATGATTATAGATTAATAATCTGTTTGTAAACTAACCTATGCTCCTCGACTGTATCTACACTGGCAAGATCAGCTCTGTCCTGATCATTGTGTCTGAGTGCTTTGACGTGCTAAGTATGATTATAGATTAATAATCTGTTTGTAAACTAACCTATGCTCCTCGACTGTATCTACACTGGCAAGATCAGCTCTGTCCTGATCATTGTGTCTGAGTGCTTTGACGTGCTAAGTATGATTATAGATTAATAATCTGTTTGTAAACTAACCTATGCTCCTCGACTGTATCTACACTGGCAAGATCAGCTCTGTCCTGATNTTTACAAAAGTATGTTTATAATTATAATTTAGCAAATTACTAAAAACAACAAATGTTTTGGTTACGAAACCAAAACCATACCTCTGGGTGCTCCTCACTGAATCGGTGCATACTCAGAACTAGAGACTTGCACTAATGGATAACCACATTTTTGTTGGACCTCACGTGACCCCAGGGAAGTTTATGGATGATCGAATTTTTGAAAATTTTTAAATCCACAAAATGTTTTTTTATAAAATCCGCGAAATTTTTTGTTTATTTTTGTTTTACACTGTATACCAAAGAGAAAATATTCACAATTGAAATAGTGAATGGGCACGAAGCGCCCTAAAAGCCTAGTATTTAGTATATTGAAGGTCGGAAAGTGAGTAGGTCAGAAGTTAAGTAGGGGGCATGTTGCAATAGACGATGTAACATTGTGACGGTAAAAAATGTTGAATATCTCCATTGTTTCTTTATCTGTAATGTAAATAATTCAGCAGTACAAAGTTTTCTATTTATTTTCTATTTTCAAACTATAGAATAATGGGGAATTCATTCACTCGATCAATGCGAGCGGAACCACAAGCACACGTTCGACTCCGATCATGGTCGTGTTTTGCCTTTGCCTCGACTCCGATCATGGTGGTGTTTTGCCTTGACTGCCTCGACTCCGATCATGGTGGTGTTTTGCCTTTGCCTCGACTCCGATCATGGTCGTGTTTTGCATTTCCCTCGACTCGGCAGAATTTGCACTGAACAATTCTCGGGCTTGGCCTGGATCAAGGCACCATGTCTGGTCTAGGTTCAAAGGTTCCTCGGGCAAATATTGTCCATCTAATTCTGGTAAATTTCTTACTCGATCCTGAAATAATAAGCAAGACAGACCCGTATGAAAGTCATTTTTCATCCTTCAATCAATCAGAAACAACCCTGTTCAAGCTGTTTAACAAGTTTATTGATCTGTTCATGCTTGCAAAATAACTGTTGGCAACAAATACCTCAATACTTGAATATTTATTTATGTTGAAAATTGTATAAAAATATTTGCTGTTTTTCCAAGAATTTCAATGCCTCCATCAATTTTATTCACATCTGATCATCCTTATTAATTTATCTTTTTCTTAAAACAAAGATGTGAATCCTGCAATTTGATGAGAACCTAAATAGATGGTGGAATAAGTGTATATGAATTATGAAGAAAGAATGGTTTTTGTTTTTTAAATCCATTAATTAAAGGAAGGGGTCCCAAGTTGGAATAGCTCTTAATTAGATAAGGAATTAAGACGACATTTGCATACAGGCTTGAAATGCAATTCAGGGTTTACTAAATCATTAAATTAATTATATTCAATCACAACATTACCCTTAAAAACAACTTATGAAGTAAAATTGGGTCCATGTACAATCACAGCGTTCTTTGAAGTGTTTAAATATTATATAATTTGAATTTAACATTTCCTATTCCACAGTTTTATGAGTTCCACAGTAGAATATTAAATTTCAATGTTTAAAACTAAAAGTCTGTCAATTGTAGAAAGTAAATCATGAGTAAATCCCGTAATCATGTACGGAGTTCAAAATGTTGTCTGAAAGGGAGTGACCGGCAATGTACAGGGTGTCCCACATCATATTAGACCGAGCACGGGTCTAAATTACGATTTTCGGGACTAATTAGAAAATTTCATTAGAATGAATCATTTTGAAAAATAACATAAGGCTTATATAAGACTTTTTCTGCGGAAAATGATAAGTTTTTCGAGTATTAAGGGTTTATTTTGGTGTTAAAGATTGGAGGCAATCTAATATGATATGGGACGCTCTGTATGGTAGTTGAACTGAGAATGTAGTATTGTGGAAAAAAATTTTAGGATTCATTTGAGACGTATAACATGTTCTAATGATGTATAATTACTGAGTTTGATCACAGAGTCGACGTTCAAAATCATCCATTTGGGTGGTTACGTTTTCAGAATTGATTTTTTTTTTAAATATTAAATAACGACGACAAAAAATGTATCGAAAATTAATAAACTGATAAGATGTTTAAAAACATATTTCTTAATAGAAATTTTTCAATAAATCAATGTTAGAATCAATTATATCTTTTTCATCATTATGTTGAATTTCTTATTCTTTATGAATTTGATCGCAGATTTCTTGAAATGTCGTCTTTTCAATAACAATTTCAGGAAATCTACAGAAAACGTTTGTGAACAATAAGACATTAAAGAAACAAATAACTAAATAAGATTACTTATTTTTGACGATAAGAGTCAATTTTTACTTTCTCAACCTGTGTCTGCAGGTACTTTCCCAAAGGCGTTTTCACAAGGGCGACTTCCCAAATGTGCAATTACTTCCCAACGGATAGCTTAACCCTCTGCAATGGGGGCCGAGCGCTGCTAAGGACAGACTTGGGAAGTTGCCGCTTTGGAAAATTGCACACTTGGGAAGTTGTCACGTGGTAAAATACCCTTGGGATGTTGCCAATTAGGAAAAATCCTTTGGGAAAGTACCTTACATCCTATTTATACAATAATTTTATTGTAGAATTCCTTTGATATTTTTCGTCGTTTTTTAATAATTCAAAATTACACGTTACTCTAGGAAGTATGCTGGTCCTGCAGTAGATGTGGAGAACTATGAAACCCAGCAGAAGGTTCCTCTTACAGCTTACGGAAAACCAGGATACTTTTCCATCCTACATAATCTTATTTGGTTAGCTTTTAAATAAAATATTTACGCGGCAATGCCATGTTACAACTTGTTGGGATACACAATGGTTTTCCATGGAAAGTAAAATTATGATATTATCTTCTTATTATTTTTGGGTTTTCCAGTATCTGAGATGTATAATTCTAACACAATGTATGTTATTGATAGAAATCTTGATCTGTTTGATTTAGGAGGTTTTGGGATCTTCACAACCCACTGCGGATCTCAGGATTGAAGACGATATTTTTAAACTTCTTACTTCTTCCATCCTTCTTCTTTCTTCTCTGGATCTTCTACTTTCATGCTCATAATGTAAGCAGCACTGGGAATTAAAAAATTTTTAAGGGACTTTTGTTGAATTCATAAGAAAAATTCTTGTAGCGTGTCTTTTCTATAAAAGTCCAAGACTGGATTTTAAGATTTTAAGATAAAAATATATTTTTTCAAACTTTTGAACAAAAAATTACACTATAGAATCCTTAATATTTACATTGCAACCCTGAAACCGGGGGTTGCAATTTTACATTGCAACCCAAGGGATGCAATCTAATTGATTGCGAATTTTTCTGCCAAGAAGTTGCGGGTTTACAACTCTGAAAACATGAATTAGATTTGATTTCTGAACTCAAAAATATGTGATACAAAACTAAAAAGACTTTTCAGTTTTTAAAACGTGAAGATGGTTGATTTTTATGTAAATTAAAATGTTACATTTTGATTAGAAGTGGAAAAATCTCCATAAAATTTGTTTAAAGGTTGAAGCAATAACATATCTGTTCATTCACGTGAGGCAATAGGAATGCAATAAATAGAGGAAGGATGTTTACATTGCCTTGTCTTCCCTATTGCCTTCCTATTGAAAAAAGAAAAATTGGTGCACCTATCAAAACCATATTTACAATCTACAATTTTACTAACGTTGCCTTCTATCACATTTATAAAGATCCCATGTTCATTGAAACTTTCCGTATATATATAATATATATCTGTTATTCTAGAATACCAAAGAATACCAAAGAAGTTTTGTCACGAAGAACGGTCTTATCTTCAACAGTTTGGCAGGAGTATACTTCATGTCGATTATATCAACAGTAGAGACATGTAAGTGTTTTCTAAGACTACTGCAGACAAACAAAATAGGAGTGTGCCTAGCTAGCCATCTTAAACTGATATATTTTCTAGTTGGTAAGCTCCGGACTAGATACTACCAGGAGTCAAGAGAAGGATTATACTCAGGACCGACCTTCCTTCTCTCATACTTCATATCGTCTATACCAGTCTCAGCCATCACATCATTCCTAGCCTCTCTCATCTTATTCAGGTACCTTGAGGAAATTTTAAAAACATTTTTAGGTTTACAGAAAAAAGATACAAAATTGTTCAAACGAAGATTATTATTACAAAATGTACTCACTTTAGGAACCTATACAATTGTACCTTTTTTATCAACAAGCCTAAAATTGGGCTCATTCATTCAGAAATTGTACGTAGATTTTAAAAATGGTCTCAATCTTGAAAATCCGATTACAAACGAGTCTGTAGACCCTTATTCCCCGTTTTTTTGAGACACTCTGTATATCGGATCAATAATGTTAAAGATATTATCGTTTTTCTAGCTTAAAACGTGTTTTATTCCCGCCACTTTTTCCGATTCATTTAAACAGAGACAACACAATTGAAAATCATAAATTTTCAAAACGAAAAAAAGGTTATCTCGTTCATTATTGATCATTCTTAATATTTTTTTGGGGAAAAAACTTATATTCAGGATTTATTTGATTGATAAAACTGTTTAGAGGATTGAAGAGTGAGATGATCTGTACCGGAGAAGAAAGTTCAACCTGTTCCCGTCTCTCTACCTACACCTACACCCAGATACAAGACCTAGAGAACTACACCACAGAGAACGCATGGTATCCCGACTTTCTTCTGTACTGGCTCGCCATCTGGGCCTGCTCCCTCCTCTCCCAGCAGCAGACGGTCAGCGTCCTGCTCATTGTGAAGAGCAGCTACAGTGCTGGACTGGTCAGCGTGTTTCTCAGCATAGTTTACCTGACCCTGGGTAGCTGTACGGTTAGATCACATACTGGCCTTCCAGAGCTGATATATCATCTTACATACATCACACAGGCCAGGGTAGTTATGGGTTAAGTGTACACCGATATGAAAATTTGTTTAAGATTGAAAAGTGTGCCCCTTAAAGTTTTTTTTGGCAATAATTATGGTGATATTATTTACTACAGGGTAATCCACAAATATGAGACTTCAGAGACGACTCTACAGAATTTATTAGTTTTTTGAAAAAGACTGTTTTTAAGACAGAAAACTAAATTCAACCCTCAGATCTTAATATTGGTTTTAGATCGATAATAAAGCTTTAGTGGGTAACCCTGTATCTAAAAGTTAAATGAAAAAAATCCGCGGTTTTTTCCGAGGCAAGGCAAAGACTCGTAACAAGCAGTTTGCAATTGTGAAGCATTAATTTTATTACTAAAAGTACATTTTATTTTCATGTTCTCAACCCATTATTTCCCATTTAGATACAGCGGAGCAATCTTGAACCGCCTTGAGTTCTATGATAAGAAAAGCTTGGTTGGGTTGGGTTGGAGAAATGAAACTACGGGACAGGAGTTCCCCTGTATCAAGGACTCCTATGGAGTTGTTTGCAGGTATTTAATATATCTACAAGTGGGAGTTCTCCTGTTTTAAGGACTCCCTATGACGTAATGGGAGATTTCGCAGATTTGTCTGTTTTCAGTGCAGGTAGATTTCCTAAATCTGATAAAACAAAATAATTTTGAAACTATCATCAGGAAATCAATATATATACTTGGCCTGTCTGTTTCTTTGTATCCAATAAACGTCAAAACGGATGAACCGATTGGGCACAAATGACCCCAGGAGGCAGGGATGCTCAGAAATTAAAATTTAGAAAATCCAGGAAAATATATAATTAAATCTGCGAACTTTTTTATTTGTTTTTGTTAATATTGTACAAAGAGAAGATGCTCACAGTTGGAGCCACAATTAAAATTTTAAATATAAGATGGCCAATTCGCGAAGCGCCCTAAAATCCAATTCATCAAAATAAAATTAAGAAATTATTGAATACGAATATATATTTTATCGTGAAATCTTTTGAATTGAAATAAGATTTAGAGGAGCAAACCATCTCTGTTGAGCTTAAATGATTTTAAAGAATTAAATCTACGCTAATGCTTTCACTGACAACATTTTCTAACATTCTAGCAGGAAATAAATTCAATTTCGTAAATTTCGTAATTTGTAAAGTTGTCTATATAATTATATAATTAAGGAATGCAAAATGTTTACTCCGAAATCGTTTCTTTAGCAAAATAAAGTTTGGATCGTCGTTTTTGCGGCGGGGTAGTTAATCTCAAATACTCTTTTCAAAACATCAGATGGAAATAAGAATATCAACAATTAACTTATATTATAAAGTTCAGGCAAAATTGACCAAATCGTCGTTTATTTAGTGATTTTTTCCTTTGATTTATTTTTTTTAAATAAGAAAGGCAACAATTAATAAGACGTCAACAAAACAGACCATATCAATTGACGTGATAACCAGAAAACTATGGAATAAGAAGACGACATCATAGTAATAATTAAGTGTATTTGATGTTGTTTAAAAGTCAAATAGTTTTACTACACACTTATTATATCGCTAATTTATGGAAATGGGTCTGTTTCCGCTACACAATTGCCTTGTCTCATACTCATTGAACTTTTAAAATATAAAACTTGATTCTAAAAGTCGACTTCCTATTACAGAGTTTTCTGGTTATCACTGTATTTAGTTTCTTTACTATTTAATAATACCCTAGATATATCAATGGAACCCATTACCTCGGAGAGAAGTATTCCTACCCTGGGACAACCCTGGAGCAACTGCTTGAACCCTGGACCAACACAGCAATCAACTTTGCGTTTCCAGCAGCTCTAGGAGTTATCAATCTAGTTCTATACCTGGTTCCCCTCCCAGCATTTATCAAAGCTAAGTTTAGAGAATAGAAAATAGAATTTTGCACTTATTAAATCTATATTTTTTGTGGTTTTGGATAAAAATAAACTTAACGTAATTTATTTAGACTTTATGAATATATTTTTTTATGAAGAGATTTGATTTGAGAGAGCTCAAGATCTAAAATAAATTTTAAGTGGTATTATGTGTGTTGCGTATTTATTTTTGATACTGTAGTATGTTTTATGTGTTTTTTTTCTATACGATATTTTGTTCAGATGAGGAATCCTTATTTAATATTTTACCGCCTTTTGACCAACAATTAAAAGGAGTGCTCGTAATAAGATAATCGACTTCTACAAATTGTACTTCTATCTGAAACGTCTGTCGCTTAGTTTTTCAAGAATTGATTTAATGATTGTGTTATAAATATAAATATATCAACTCAGGACCTAGACTTCTCTGCTGTGGGCAACAAACGTTTTTGAAAATTGTCTTATTGTAGAAACAAAAGATAGAAATAAAATTGGCGGATCGATTTTGGATTCAATTCAGATTCAGCCAATTCATCTTTTTATTTTGGAACAAACATTCCCTTTAATTTGTCAGGAAAATAGTTCAGAATTAAAATTAAGGCTGTTATCTTTTTTTAATGAACGAAACTGTTTTGATCAGAAAAAAAACAATTCAGCAAAACCTCTGGACTTTTCACAATATTTGGATTAAAAATAGATAAAGGGTATGGACCACAATTTTAAAACCCCTATACTGGAGGAGGGGGGGGGGGTTGATTTTCTAATCTTTAAAGGAATAAAGTAAAAATGTGGACCTTAACTTCACATGAAATTACGACACAATCCCTTATAATGATGACACATTTTCTAACGTAACCACATGTTACATGTTAACAAATCAATACTTATCTCTCCTTGTTCTCTATAGGACCAGGGGCAACAGAAAACATATCATTCATGTTTTTATGTTAATCGAAGAGAAATGTTTGAAATAAGAAGAAACGATTAGATCTAGTTTTCTAGGAACCAATTAGACTCAATTAGATTCCCTAGTTCTGGTTTACTACGGGACCCCTGGGCCGGGATTCTCCTGAATTGCAGAATCCGGCAGAATCATTTCAATAGTTTTATTCAGTTCTTTACAATGAAGAGATTAGTTAATTTAGTTAAAGTCCTGACCTAAAATAGTCTGGAATTCAACGACGACTCGAATTCAAAGAAATCGGTCTTATATGATTTAAAAAATGCGGCAATAAACAACTGATCAGTGTACACTGTACACTATCTTAATTCTATTCATCGATCAATTTCCAAATTATTGAAGGACTGGTTTCTAAAATACTACTGCCAATGGTTGGAAGTTTCCTTGCATAATAAAATAAGAACTTGAATAGCAAACACTTTTAAATGTCGTCTTCTGACCTGAGCCTTTTGGATGTGCACAGTGCACATCCAAAAGGCAGAGACTTCAGAGGCGACTGTACGGAATTTGTTCAGTTTTAGTTCTTGAATTCAAGGTTCCCTACAACTGAAACGTACGTTTTTTTCGCCTTACAATAATTATATATGATTAAAGAATAATAATGGAGAAATAATTTGAAACTTCAGATCGCAATGCTGAATTAGGTTTAGGTCGTCATTAAAGTTTCATCCTTTGTGGATAACACTGTACTGTATACAACAAAACCCCTGTACATTGCTGTAACAGTGTAACACTGTACTGTATACAACAAAACCCCTGTACATTGCTGTAACACTGTACTGTGTACAACAAAACCCCTGTACATTGCTGTAACCCTGTACTGTATACAACAAACCCTTGTACATTTCTGTAACACTGTACTGTATACAACAAACCCCTGTACATTGCTGTAACACTGTATTGTATACAACAAAACCCCTGTACATTGCTGTAACACTGTACTGTATACAAAAAAACCCTGTACATTGCTTTAACACAGTACTGTATACAACAAAACCCCTGTACATTGCTGTAACACTGTACTGTATACAAAAAACCCTGTACATTGCTGTAACAATGTATTGTATACAACAAAACCAATGTACATTGCTGTGACAGTGTAACAGTGTACTGTATACAACAAAACCCCTGTTCATTGCTGTAACACTGTATTGTATACAACAAACCCCTGTACATTGCTGTAACACTGTATTGTATACAACAAAACCCCTGTACATTGCTGTAACACTGTACTGTATACAAAAAAACCCTGTACATTGCTTTAACACTGTACTGTATACAACATAACCCCTGTACATTGCTGTAACACAGTACTGTATACAACAAAACCCTTGTACATTGTTGTAACAATGTATTGTATACAACAAAACCCCTGTACATTGCTGTAACACTGTACTGTATACAAAAAAAAACTGTACATTGCTGTAACACTGTATTGTATACAACAAAACCCTTATACATTGCTGTAACACTGTATTGTATACAACAAAACTCCTGCACATTGCTGTAACACTGTACTGTATACAACAAAACCCCTGTACATTGCTGTAACAGTGTACTGTAAACAACAAAACCCCTGTACATTGCTGTAACACTGTATTGTGTAAAACAAAACCACTGTACATTGCATTAACACTGTACTGTATACAACAAAACCCCTACAGTTTTACAGCAATGTACAGGGGTTTTTTTGTATACAGTACAGTGTTACAGCAATGTACAGGGGTTATGTTGTATACAGTACACTGTTACAGCAATGTACAGGGGTTTTGTTGTATACAGTACAGTGTTACAGCAATGGACAGGGGTTTTGTTGTATACAGTACAGTGTTACAGCAATGTACAGGGGTTTTGTTGTATACAATACAGTGTTACAGCAATGTATAGGGGTTTTGATGTATACAATACAGTGTTACAGCAATGTACAGGGGTTATGTTGTATACAGTACAGTGTTACAGCAATGTACAGGGGTTTTGTTGTATACAATGAATTGACATTATCGCCATAGCATAACATGACGTCGTTTAATGTCTTTGAACAGAACGGCTCTTGATCGGTATAATATTTACATGTTCAGTTCTAGTCTAGTCTAATACCGCATGCCTTTGTCCTATTAATTCAATAAATTATAAAGGCAACACTTGCGTATACCAAGCCAGTGCTTATCAAGTCTTTATATCCAGCCTGAGATTAGTAGCTGGCTTTACCGCGGCGTGTTCACGACTCTATAAAAATACAAGTTATAGCCCGGGACGACCGGGACTTATGTCTCGTTTGTGAAAAATGTTTAAAAAACTGTTTGGGAAACAGAAAAAAATAAAAATGGCAGAAGGTTCCACAAGTGTGTCTCAGGATAGAGCAAGTTCGTCCGAGCTTGATGAGAACTCATCTAACCATACGGAGAATTGGTCCCAGGAGACAGAAAACTCGTCCAAGGGACCGAAGACGATGTTCGTCCAGATTAAAGAATACCTGGACCAAGTTCAAGTATCCGAGGATCATAAACTCGATAGGTTTATTAAAGGTTGAACTAATAATATTTTATTTAGGAATGAATATAGTATTATATTATAATATAGTATTATATTGCGGGAGTTATTTAGAATAAGATGAACATTAGATAAACCATTCTCGTGAATTTTATTATTATTAAACACGAGTTTACACTCCAGAATCCATGCAGAGTTGGCACGTTAGGAAGAAAAATGCACGTTCCTCGGTCCTCCGCCGTTTACGTTTTGTTAAATGTTTAAATCGTTGAAAATCAAAAATAACAAAAGGGTCCTCTAACCTCTCAAATGTTTACAATTTTATATAAAGGGCCATATACTAAGAAAAAAGTAAGTATGCTAAGTACTGACGTGACGTAGCCAAGGAGTATGAAATAGAAGGGAGATACAACTGACGCGGCCCGCCCAGCGCCCTACCATATGATTATGCATGCTTTGCAGACAGTACTCCATTTGAATAAGAAATATTTGTTCGATGTACAATTACCACGTTTAAAATAACCTATTTCTTATTCAAATGGAGTACCCGTCTGCAAAGCATGTATAACCATATGGTAGGGCGGGCCGCGGCAGTTGTATCTCTCTTCTATTTCATACTCCTTGGACGTAGCCTTATTGTTTTCAACACTCTTGTTATGCTCAGAATAAAGTTTAGTCACAACAAAAACATTAAATTAATTCACCATTAAACTAGACCAAAATTTCTTTTCAAGAAGTCTACTTAAAGATTCTGTTGACGGGATTACAAGTGATCCTTTATAATGTCTAGAACTGTAAAACTGTACAACTCTACCGGAGTAATAGTGAGGAATTTTTAGTTAATCGTTTTTATGTTGAAAAGTGTCAAATTTTCACAATATCCTTCAAACTTCCATCAATATTAAGAAAAACTAAACTATTTCATTTATACATACAGAGCGTCCCATATCTTATTAGATTATCTCCAATCGTTCTCGGTCTAATATGATATGGGACACCCTGTACAAAAATATACAATGTTCTGTCCTCAGTTTGATTATTTGATGAGAATCAAGGATTAAATGCTGTAATAATAAGTAAATTATTCAAATAAATCTTTATTTTGAATTTCAGGATTATGTTTGGTTGGAGGAGCCTGGTTCCTGCTGGGTCATGGTTCAAGTTTACTCCGGGTACTCATTGCATTCCCATTCCCGGCGTACAGGTCTCTCAAGGCTGTTCTATCACCATCAAAGGAAGACGATATTTCATGTCTCAGGTCAATACTTTATAATATTTAAAATTCACCTTATTTAAATAATATACAATTATACAAAGAGAAGTTATCATCATTAAATCCAGCTATAATGACGGGGAAGAAAATAGGTAAGAAACCCACGGAAGAAAAATTCGTTGTACCCTCGAAGTAATTAAGATTTTGAATTAACAGTTATCCAAAAATAGATTTTTTTTTGTGCTATAAGTTTACAGATGTTGCCTCGTTCTGTTTGTGAGTAACTCAAAGAACTGTGTTTCAAGTGACCCTCCATTAAAACGTGGCGTCTCAGATTAAAAACTGTATCGTTAAAATCTCTAAGATTTTGTCGTTTTTTTAAATCTTAAAACGTAGTAAAACTGGAAAATTGTCTCTATAGAATAGACCACGTTTCACTTTTGAAAAGAAAAATAAGGATATACCATTCATTATTTAAGGGAGTGTTTGCGAATAATGAAGGGGGTATAAGCCTATACCCCCTTTCATAGTTCACGAACACTTTCCTTAAAAAAATCATTTTTTCTAGGTACTGGATAGTATTGGCTCTCTTCTCCTGTCTTGAAATAGTGCTGGATATCTTCATAAACCTTCTCCCTATACAAGGTCTATACATGAGCTTGAAACTGGTTCTTCTTCTCTGGTTTATGGCTCCGATTCAGCTTAATGGGACAGATCTTGTTTTTGAGAAGGTGAACAATACAAATTTATTTTTAAAAACAAGTTCACCGGATATTTTTTTTTCTTTTTAATTTTTAAAAGTTCACTGTAAGAAATAATACCGGTGTCACGTTAAAAAACGTCCAGGCTACTTCTTTTCAGTCTTAGACATCAAATTTCAAAATATTTAATCGATTATGGAAAATCCTACTCCATGATAATCCGACTCCTATATTATCCTTTTCCTAGAAAATGATAATACTACTCCTAGACAATCCTATTCCTAGATAGTTCTACTCCTAGATAATCCTACTCCTATAATAGATAATTCTGCTCCTATATAATCCTACTCCAATATAGTTCTACTAGTTCTTCACCTAGAAAATAATACTCCTAGTTAATCCTACTCCAATTTGGTTTTACTCCTATATAGTTCGGTCCACCTATAATTCTACTCCTAAATAACCCTACCCCTATATAATTCTACTCCTTTATAATCCTATTACTATAAAGTACTATCCTATATAATCCTACTCATATATAGTTCTACTCCTAGATAATCCTACTCCTATATAGTTCTACTCTTAGATAATCCTACTCCTATGTAATTCTACTTCTAGATAATCCTACTCCTATGTGATTTTACTCTTAGATAATCCTACTCCTAGATAAGCTTACTTCTTGATAATCCTACTCCTATATAGATCTACTCCTATATAGCTCTACCCCTAGATAGTCCTACTCCAGTAAAGTTCTACTTCTAGATAATCCTACTTCTATATAGTTATACTCCTAGATAATTTTACTCCTATATAATCCTACTCCTATATGGTTCTACTACTAGATAATCCTACTCCTATATAGTGCCACTCCTAGATAATCCTACTACAAGAAAATTTTACTCCTATATAATCCTACTCCGATATAATCCTACTCCTAGAAAATTCTACTCCTAGATAATCCTACTCCTAGATAATCCTACTACTATATAATCCTTAGGGCGGCCCTGTAAAAATTGTTCAGAGGTGCACTTAAATCCTACTCCTATATAATTCTACTCCTAGATAATCCTACTCCTATATAATTCTACTTCTAGATAATCCTACTCCTATATAATTCTACTCCTAGATAATCCTACTCCAAGATAGTTCTACTCCTATATAATCCTACTCCTAGATAATCCTATTCCTATATAGTTCTACTCCTAGATAATCCTACTCCTATATAATTCTACTCCTAGATAATCCTACTCCTATATAATCCTACTCCTATATAATCCTACTCCTAGATAATCCTACTCCTATATAATCCTACTCCTAGATAATTCTACTCCTAGATAATCCTACTCCTATATAATCCTACTCCTATATAATCCTACTCCTAGATAATCCTACTACTATATAATCCTACTCTTATATAATCCTACTCCTAGATAATTCTACTCCTATATAATCCTACTCCTATATAATCCTACTCTTATATAATCCTACTCCTATATGTTTTTACTCCTATATAATTCTACTCCTAGATAATCCTACTCCTATATAATTCTTCTCCTAGATAATCCTACTCCTATATATTTTTACTCCTAGATAATCCTACTACTATATAATCCTACTCTTATATAATCCTACTCCTAGATAATCCTACTACTATATAATCCTACTCCTAGATAATCCTACCACTGTACCGTGAGAATGAGCCCCGTCTAGATGAACTAGCAGATCTAGCAAACCTTCAAGCTTCACGTCTACTCTCTGCTACTAGGGAAACTAGGCATCTATATATTCATACAGTGAGACAAATATCATACGAAATTCAGATTTTTAAAAACATTTTAAAAACGTAATTTTAACAGAAACAATTTCAATAACAGAACCATTTAAACCGTTGGTTCCTAAAAAATAAAGTCGTCCTATTAGCTCTGATTCTCCTTTACAAATGCGCCAATAACGAATAATCGTTTTTACGAAACAAAAATTGAGATGTTGTCGTTGTTCAATATGGAAAAAAACTTTCCATACGTCTGGCTTCTCAAATAGTGGATTTCTACAGATAAGATTTGTCTCATTTCTGATGTTTAAAAATGACAAGATGGCCACATATTATTTCTAGGATAAAAACTAAACATGTTTCGTGGAACACCACACCTGAAGTATTTCAAAATTATGAACAGAATGCTAAAAATATCTCACAAATTATAATATCCCAAAGATTCTGTTCGCATTTTCAAAACAAAAGCTTTTGATTACGTAATTGTTTGTGATTTCAAAATAAAAATGTTCGTAATTGCGAAAAAAAAATGTTTGTAATTACGAAGAAAATGTTCGTAATTACCAAAAACGTTCGAAATTTAGAAAAGAATGTTTTTAATTTCGAATTTTTTTCGTATCTTTGATTTTTTGTTGCTATAATATCTAAATGATCTCTGTCTGTTTTGTTTAACGAAGAAATCGGTAATGAACGATCCATAGTATTATCCTTGCCTATGTTCAGAGGACTGGAAACTGGTGAAGAAATAATGAAGAAAGTATTCTAATCTGTTTCAGCAGTATTTACTAAAATGTATTTTATCTGAGTTTTAATTTAACATATTTTTAATCTTTTTATGTTTTTATATCTGGGGAGATGGATATTAAGAAATAATCTGAAGAACAAATAATATAAAAAATGTTTTAAGGCACTGAGTATACTAATAGTAATGTTCTTAAGGAATTAAGAACATGAGCGAAAGGTTTATAAAGAATGAATAACACGTGAGGTTTGAACGAGAAATTAAAAAATGGAGTCCAGAACTTTTTCTAAGGTAAATCTTTTCCAAAACAATAATCCGTTTCTCTGCCCCTTCAAGGGTTTAATATAAACGAGGAATCTTGATATTTCTAGACTCGATCAGATTGACAGGATTAATTGAATACTTGAAACCCATCTAACAGGCCCGTTTTCAAGATTTAATCGGGGAGAGGGTGGGGCAACTAGTTTTGGTTTACATTCAAGAAATTTAATCTCTCTTTGCTTCATTTGGGATTTAATTTAAACCCCAGACATACAAGAATAAGTGAAAATCCTGACAAAACAAAATGTAAAACACAACGTCATGATAGATATTATTTGACCGAAGGATGTCGTATTTTAAAGCCTAAATATTGGTTGGTTATTGGCTAGAGCAGACTACTAATATTTAATGCGCCAGGGGATTGGAAACTACTAATGTATACCAGGGTTACCAACTCTAGAAAATCCTTAAAAAGTTTAAAATTTCATAATCTTCTCAACCTCTGAATGATAACTACAGGTCTATTTCTCATAATTGGATTGTTTTATTAAAAGTAACATACTTAACCCTAAACAGGCTTGGGGGGGCGTTTGCCCCCACCCCCTGTAGTTTTTTGTCCTAGCACTCTCATTTTTGACACTATCTGAGATTACTCCTGGATTACCCCTTGATCTGACAACTTGTACCAACATGTTAGCATCAACTTCTCTAGGTTAGGGAGAATATATCTGCAGTATTATTTATTTCAACAATAGTAATAGATATTAGATTAAAATGTGAGAACACTGTTTGAACAATTTCATTCTCATCCTTGGCACTTCTTAGACCATAAAAACAGACCTGGAGTAGAAACAGAGATTTTCAAATCTGAGAACAAAAAATATTTCATATAGTTACTAAGGAATCAAATAATAGATATTTTTTTTCGGTAAAAAGGACAAATAAAACATTTGTTCTCCCATTTTTTAATGTCGTTTTCGGTCTAACATTCCGCACAATTTTTAAGGTTAATATGTTTCGAATCGTACTCTTAATGTAGAGTTTTTCAGGAAAATAAAGATTATTTTAAAAATATTAAAAATCCGTTTAAAACTTTTCTAATTGGGTATAAAATGCACTTATAAGTAGTTCATACCTTGAATAAATTATTTGCTGAGATTAGATAAAAAAATGATAAAAATGTGAAAATTATATATTCAAATAAATTTCTATTCAATAAATTCTACCTTGAATGAACTTTATCTCGTCAACTATTCTTCTCAGGTTGATATAATCTACTACTCCACCTATCCTCCAAACCTTGAATGTGTTCTCCAACTCATCAATCCGACTCAGCAATGTTGTACTTGATGTTGTTCTTGGTGTCTTCTCCTTCTTACTCCGTAACTAAAATATTACCGCCTTAATATTTTTTTTCAACTATGTTAAAAATGTAAAATTTAAATTAGGTTTAGTCTCTTTAATTCGACAAATATTTAACCGTTGTTTAGTTATGTGTAGTGTTTAATGTTGATCGTCGTAGATTGATGAACCTACAAATTGGCACTACAAGTGTATTTCGGGTGACCTGACCAACTATTAGAGATAATTACAGGAATTGAGTCTTTCCCACTAAGACCGATTTTCTAATCCCTTTATAATATATTTAAATATTTTAAACTATGGATTTCATTAGATCAAATAATCAAAGGTTGAAATATCAAATGGAGTGTTCGCGAAAAATGGAGGCTATGTTGTTTGGGTAAGTCGTTTTCAACAATTTTCGCCTTATAGACGCAACAAATAGAAGTAAGATTAGAAGTAGCAATCAAAAGCGTCTATTTTTCGCGAACACTCCCTTTAAAGGTTTACACCTCTAAGTTGCAAATATATGGGGATTAGAAAATTTGAGTTTGTGGCAAAGACTCTCCATAAACTAAGTTGCTTACCAAATTCATAACGATAACCGTAAAATTAATTCTTTTCCAGGTTGGATTAGCTCGTCTCCTCTCTTCTTAAACATTTCTTTATTAGCTCGTCACCTCTCATCTTAAACATTTCTGAACAAGAATCTGAAGCAAATTTTAAATTAAAACAGAAAATTCCCACAAAATAAAAACGATGAAATATCAATGAATTTACAAACTATCCTTGGAAACAGGTTTAACATTATGGATTCATTTTGACACAAGGATAAAAAAACACAAATTAACATGAAATCCTTTTGCAAAATCTTTTTAAAGATTGTAACAAATTTAAACTAGAGAAGCTAAATAAATTTCTGTCTTAAACGTTAAAGTGGAAAAAGAAAATTAAAGAAGAAAAGTTGAAAATGATTTCCAAAAGACAACCATTTTTAACAACAATAGAAATAGTGAAACTAGAAATTAGGAGATTAATTAATATATTGATAAACATGCTTCGGAATATTATTCATTAGTTCTAAATTATCTTTGTTTGCAGGTTACCACTCAAACTGAATAGAAGGATATTGAATATTTTTTTGTAGAATCATGCAGAAGAAAAAATATAAAAAACGTGAAGGAAAAATTGAAAACTGGATTTTTTCTACAACTTGGAAAACTAATGTTAATGAAGGATTGGTTAGAAATCAGTTCTATTTGCGTATTGGATCAGAATACAAAATTAAACTGAATAGAAGGATATTGAATACGGAGAGTTTCTTCAGCAACAGTTTCTCCATTTACATGAACAGTCTTCAATCTATTCCCTGCTGTGCTTAGTATCTCCAGGAGTCCTCCTTCAGTCAACTCATCACAGAATGCCAGCCATAGGTTTTCCAACATAGGGAGAGATTTTACTCCGTTCTTGAATCCGACTCCAGTGATACTAGTCCAGGATACATCCAGATATCTGAGTTTACTCCCAGGTATACTCAGTATCTCCAACAGTTCTCTATTTGATAACTCTTTACAACCATTCATGATCAGTGTTTCAAGGTTTGGAAGTGACTTAAATATCTTATCTAATCCTAACCCTGGGATACTAGTATAGGAAACATCCAGATATCGGAGTTTACTCCCAGATATACTTAGTATCTCGACTAGTTCTCCGTTTTCCAGGTTACTACAGGAAATTAGGGTCAATGACTCGAGGTTTGGAAGAGATTTTACTCCTCTCTTTATACCAACCCCTGTTATGTTAGAACAATCTAACTTCAATTCTCTCAGATTACTCCTATATCTTCTCAGTATCTTCATCAGTCCTTTATCTGACAGCTTATGCCAATCTGTCAGCTGTAACTTCACTAGGTTAGGGTAAGTACTAGGAAGACGACCAGTAATATCTCCTGTATTCTTCATACCATAAATAGTAATAGATTTTAAATTGTTATGAGAGAGTGTTGTCAGAACGATTTCATCCTGATCCTTATTTTCATCTGTATCCTCATGTCCAACAAACTCTATGCTGATAGATTCCAGCTCCTTGTGTTTCTCCACCAAATAGTTGAACACTGGACCACAACCAGGAGTAATAAGAGGATAGATTGCCAACTCTAAAAAATATATATTCACATATTTACTTTAAAGTTAACATCGACTTTTTCAACAATTTTGAAGTCCGCTCAACAACTGGGAGAAATCTGATGGAAAAAGTTCTATCAACTATTTCAATTACAATTTGTGATTTTGTTCAAAAGTTGAACACCAAGTCATGGCAGGACTATGCAGAGTTTAACTCCACTTTGAAACTAGTTGTTCCATCCAGTTCTGATTGATGGGTGACATAAACAATTTTTTTCTCAATTGCATTTAGAAGAAAAAAATTGACATAGCTAAATATTGATAAAAAATAAAAAAAACCCAACAAACTACTATGTAGTATGTATTTGCATAAATAAACTATGCATCTGGGGGGAGCACACCCCCTCCACACCCTACCCCGGTCAAGCCAATATAGAAACCTAACAAGAATAGAGTCCCAACAGTTCTGAAGCTTATTAACAAATTTTAACCATGAAGGAAAGTAAAATTGAAATGTGTATCACGGACTATCTGCTGAAGGTGTTACCTTGAATTGTACATATCTCGTCTGATAATCTTCTCAGTCTAACAGAATCAACTTCTCCGTGTATCCTCCAAATCTTAAAGGTTTTCTCTAACTCATCAATCCGTCTCCGCAAGGTTGTACTTGAAGCTCTAAGTGCTCCCTTGTCCTTCTTATTTAAATACTTGAGCACAACCATTAGATCATACACTACCATGCTCTCCAAGTTAGACAACTTATTCTCCATTCTTAACTTGTTTCTATCCTCTGAAAATAGGTGTACTATTAACATTAATATCCATTGAATAAAAACTGGCACACAGGCGGGGGGCAGTAGTCCTCTTGCTCCCTTTGACATCCCAGGGGGAGCCTGTACCCCCCTGGGATTTATGGGCAAAGGTTAAAATCAGGTGAGGTGGGTTTAAAAGAAGCTTTCCCTTTTTATCAAAATTGTGTTTTCCCCTTTGAAAATTTTCTTGCCGCTTCGCGCCATTTATTTCAAAATTTTACCTTGGTTTTTCCCTTTTATCTAAAATCTCTCCCCACCCTACTTGATAAACAACTATAGCTATATGCATTATGCAAGTGTTTGGGATGTCTTCCCATAAATACAGAGAAATACATAATAATATATACAAAAGTTTGTGGACTACAAAGGAAAGTAGTCTCAGGAGACTACTCAGGACTTCAGAGAATAATATGAAACTATACAGAGGGATACATTATATATAGTCCTTGAATCGATACTACAGTGGACTACAAAGTAGTCTCAGGAGACTACTCAGGACTTTGCAGAGAGTAAAACAGAACTATACAGAGGGATACATAATCCTTGAATAGGGACAACAATGGACTACATAGGTGACATGTACATAGTAGACTTAGTGTAGAATAACAGCATTTTTAAGGCCAGGGGGTGGGCAAAAAAAAATTCGCGCTAAATCTTGTCCACCTTTGACTGAAATCCTGTGTACGCGCCTGTGCACTATAAAGCTAATAAAAACAAACAATTTTTTTACGCGTATTTCCAAGTTTACATTTATTAATATTTTAAAGAAATGCATTTCATATCTTGCGACATGATCTGCTATACTCTGCTGTTCTTAAATCTGAAGCAGAAGCAGAAGGATGAGGAACCCTCTCCTCCCTCTTAACAAACTCTCAAACAGTGGTATATACTGTAAATGACAAACAGTAAACTAAGATGTACATTGTACAAACTCTCAAACAGTGGTATATACTGTAAATGAAAAACAGTAAACTAAGATGTTCATTGTACAAACTCTCAAACAGTGGTATATACTGTACATGACAAACAGTTAACTAAGATGTACAATGTAAAAACACTCAAACAGTGGTACATACTGTACATGACAAACAGTTAACTAAAATGTACATTGTAAAAACACTCAAACAGTGGTACATACTGTACATGAAAAACAGTAAACTAAGATGTTCATTGTACAAACTCTCAAACAGTGGTATATACTGTACATGACAAACAGTTAACTAAGATGTACAATGTAAAAACACTCAAACAGTGGTTTATACTGTACATGACAAACAGTAAACTAAGATGTACAATGTAAAAACACTCAAACAGTGGTACATACTGTACATGACAAACAGTTAACTAAAATGTACATTGTAAAAACACTCAAACAGTGGTACATACTGTACATGACAAACAGTAAACTAAGATGTACAATGTACAAACTCTCAAACAGTGGTACATACTGTACATGAAAAACAGTAAACTAAGATGTTCATTGTACAAACTTTCAAACAGTAGGATATTATGTACTCAATACACAGAAAACAGTAAAAAGAAATAATATTTTGACGCATGTCCTCCCCTGAAAAATTGCTCCTCTCCTGCAGTTCCTTGATCAAGGTAAAGTTGCTCCTCTCCTGTAGTTCCTTGATCAAGGTAAAGTTGCTCCACTCCTGTAGTTCCTTGATCAAGATATAGTTTCTCCGCTCCTGTAGATCTTTGATCAAGATATAGTTGCTTCTCTCTTGTAGTCCATTGATCAAGGTATAGTTGCTCCTCTCCTGTAGTTCCTTGATCAAGATATAGTTGCTCCTCTCCTGTAGATCTTTGATCAAGATATAGTTGCTTNGAATGAGATGTATAGTTGAACTACTAGCTCAACTATATCCTGGAATATTATGAATGAGATGTATAGTTGAACTACTAGCTCAACTATAACCTATCTTGTGTCTCATAAATTTTTTAAAAACTGTTACAAGGACTTGAACTACTAGCTCAACTATATCAACTATATAAGTGACCCTTGATTAAAAATGTTTTGTCTGAACAATATTGATGAGAATATTCTTGTACTTCTCACAGTAAACTCATTATTTCCCATTAGTTTAGATTACAGTTTCTCAACAAAAACCAAATTTATGCAGTCGTGACAATCGAAGAAATCAATGTACAGCTACATTTCGTATAACAGTTGAGAAATCAGGCTAAAACAAAAATAAATAAATCAAACAATGTAAAAATATATAATGAAATATCCTGCCTTTAGCTCCGCGATCCTGCTTTTTCTTGTCTCCAAGTTAGAGTTCAATTTCTCCAGATTCTCAGCTTCAACTTCAACATAATCTTCCTTCTTTTCAAGAGTATATTTATGGAACTTCTGAATAGTTTCCAACCCTTGGAGGAACAAAACAAAACTTTCCTCCAGCTCAATTTCCTCATTCTTCATTGATTTTAAGGAGACAAGCTCTAGATCTATGTCAGAGATGGTCTTGCTCTGGAGAGAGAGACAGTTCATCCCAGTCTCTAATTTCTCCTTCTCCTCATCCATCTTGTTCCGGAGAAGGTATATTTGCTTGGTTAGATCATTCCTCTTTGTGAGAGTTGTTTTTATCTTCTTCTGTAGATGGGTTCGGATATACTCCAGGCTTTTCAAAGATACATTGTCGGCTGAATAGTTTTTCGGCAGAGGTGTTAATTATATCCGTATATATATATAATTCCATAAGTATCAATATTTTTTATGCAGAAATGATAAATTAAGGAATCTTGTATTGTAAATAGTTTCATAAACCCCTTTGTAATTATCAAGATATAAAATCAAATTCTCAATGTATATTTCTCTACAAAATTGGGGGAACTAATTACACCCCTCCTCTTCGGACTGATACACTTGAGCCTTCCCCAGTCTCAGGTTTCTTTATCTCTTCTCCAGGCATTTTTATTCACTGATCTGAGGATAGATATATTAGAAAAGGAGACAAGAAAACCATGGAATGAAAATTTTTGAGATTTCTAAAATCCAATAAAATTTTACATTTATATTAAAATCATTAATTTTGTGTGAGAATTTGTTCCACAACTGTTGTTTTTACTTTCAATAATTTCCACAGAACAACCATTTTCAATATTCAAAATATTCAAAATGAGCAAAAGGATGTTGAATACGAAGTGCTTGTTTAACATCAGCAGATATTCTGGTTCGGGATACACGAACAGACTTTAATCTGTTTCCTGTTACACTCATTATCTCCAGGAATCCTTGGTCAGTCAGTGGTTCACACGCTAGCTCCAGGTACTCCAACATGGGGAGAGATTTGACTCCTTCCTTGAATCCAATCCCAGTTATATAAGTATAGGATAAATCTAGACTTGTGAGTTTACTCCCGGATATTCTCCGAATCTGATTCAGTCCTTCAGCTTTCAAATACATACAACCAGACAGGTTTAGATCCTCCAGCATTGGTAGATATTCTACTCTCTCCTCTAAACCAATCCCTGTAATCATCGTCCAGGAAAGATCCAGACACCTGAGCTTACTCCTAGATATTCTCAGTATTTCAATCAGTCCTTCGTCTCTTAACTCTTCGCTCCTATTCAGGTCCAAGATATCTAGATTTGGAAGAGACATTACTCCTTCCTCTAATCCAATACCTGTTGTATTAGTATTTGATATATTCAGAACTTTCAGTTTACTTCCACATATTTTTAGAACCTTCACCAGTCCTTTATCTTTCAGTTTATAACATTCAGCCAGGTTCAGTGTCTCAAGGTTTGGAAGAGATTTGACTCCTGACGCTAAACCAATCCCTTTTGTGTCGGAATCAAATAAAACTAGTTCTTTCAGACTTATCTTGGATTTACTCAGTATCTTTGTCAGTCCTTTATCTGACAAATTATACCACTGTCTCAGTTCCAGCTTTTCTAGACCAGGAAGAATACTGGTAAGATCCAATATATCTCCTGCTTTCTCCATATGAGATAGATAGATAGATCGTAGATTAGAGAATACTGCAAGTACGATTTCGTCCAGATCCACTGTAGAAATATAAACATTTAACCCTGACAGTACATCCATCATATCCACAGTAATACGGAAAGATTCTAGTTCCTGGTGCTTCTCCATTAAATCCTTGAACACTGGACCACATCCAGGAGTAGAGAGATCGAGATAATGGATTGATAAATCTAAAATACAAAAGGGTTTATTATGCTGGATAAAATAATCAAGATTTGACATATCGAAGTCAGTTCATTAATCAAAAAAGTCGTTAATTATTAATATTTTTTTTTTAAGTTTAAACAAAGCTATCTGTATCAATTAGTTCGTTTTTTCGGTCGTTTTTAGCATATATTTTCTTTTAGGGTTAAAATTTAGCATAACATAAGAAAATGATTTCTAATTCTTATTTCTTTAAGTATGACAAATTTTGACCGTGGCAAAGATATATGCGAAAAAAAGATCCCAAAACGATGCAAAAATGACCCAAAAACGATCGTGTGGTAACGATCATTTTAGATAGTTTCTTCAATTTATATTTTTATAGGATAAAGATATTGCAAAAATTAACAAAAGAAAACTTTAACATAAAACAGTTTTTAAATCCTGAAAGTTTTAATTATTTTTTCTAAAAGCAATCCAAAACTATTAACATTTCACTATCTTTCATTCTCACTGAATTTTAAGTCTTTTTTTTATACATAGACCAAGAGCGTGCACATGGATCACATGGGACTGTAAAGGTTTAACCCTATTGAATCGAATCTAATATACATACTCATTAATAAAATTTCAAGATTCTAACTTAAAGTTTTCAATATCAAATTTCTAGATTTGAAAATTTTAATTACACGTTTCTGGAGTAAAAGTTTACTATTGTATTTCTAAACCTAATGACTTTACTGTCAAAAAAATTCGAAGGTTTAACCCTATTGAATCGAAGTTAAAAATTTCATTGCTATAAGTCTTGACTTAAACAGGTTGCTGTCATATTTATGCTACCTCAATTTTCCTATTCACCTAATCTCCTTTTTAATTTAAAAATAATCTTCTGTATATAATGTTTTTAAACCTGAATATTTGAATTAAACACTTTGTTCTTCTCTAAACACTAATTCCTTATAATTACTGTTACAAAATTCGTAACTATTCAGAAGTATATGTTTTAAAATCGGAATTTACTCGGGTTGATTTAAGCTCTACCAGTTGCTAGTTTTAAATAAACTAAAACTAATAGTTTCTTTTAATTATTCAGTTTGAACTGAACTGAAACGCCTCTGGAACTAGCAAGATACAACACCGAGAAACCAAGATGTCACAAGATAAGGGGACAACGAAGAGTTTGTCCCTTTCTGTCGGCCATCCATGTTTACATAGATGAAACGTTATCTAGGAACCTAAATGATCCTAGTTATTATATTTCATAGAAGATGTTGCCTCAATACTAAATTGCTAGCATATTTGCTTATTAGCTAAAAAGATACTAACGAACCATCAATGTTCGTAGTTAGTATATTTTTTCTTAATTAATTATTACGTTCCTTCTGACACCTTGCTAATGAAGTCTCAATATTATTAAGACGAACCATCAATGTTCGCATTTATTGCTTTTCGTTCCTTCGAGTACTTCTTAATTATTCCTTATTTCACCTTGCTTATGAAGCCTCAATAATAACGAATTAACACATGTTCGCTTAAAATGTAGCCTCAATATTAACGAAGAACGTATAATGTTCCTCGTTATGAAGCTCAAAATAATTTTCTTTAATGTAAAAATGGAAACTCGCTCCCGTGTATGGTTATGCGAAAGTATACACACTGATAATTGTAGCATTTTCCAATAAGAGATAACACTCACTGTGTTTGTAGTATCTCCCAGTCAGATTTCATAAAAGTATCACTTTTATACATAATGTAGTTTTTTCTCTCGAACTGCTGCTTTACCAATACTTGAATACAAATTTACCAGCAATCCAGACATGAAAAAACGAAAATAAATGTATCTGTTAAAATTAAATCTCGAACTTAATGATTATAACTATATGTAAGAAAGTTTTGTGTTAAATCCATATTAACAATCTTGTAAACTATAATGATACATAAAATAAATATCTAGATTTTAAAAAACATTTCACTATCTGTATGCAACCTTCTGGATTTAGATCTTTAAGCTAACCTGTAATAAATATAGTAGTAAACCCCCATATTTGTAAACCTTAACATACCTGTATATATTACGTGATACATTATCTGTACCCTAACTGCGTTAGTAAATTCTGTGAAGACCTATCGGTCCTTACCATAAAACTCAAAATATAGATGAGTTGGAATAAGAACTCTGCTTGATAACGGTATTAGAGTAATAGTTCTCGAGAAGAGAGCGAGTTGTATCTCGGTTGATAGATACAGACTAAGAAATACAGAGAGTGTTGTATCTAGATTGAATACAGACTAAGGATTATTGTAGAACAGTTGTATCTCGATTGATAAATACAGACTAAGAAATACAGAAAGTGTTGTATCTGGATTGAATACAGACTAAGGTATTATTGTAGAACAGTTGTATCTCGATTGATAGACACAGATTAAGAATTACAGAGAGTGTTGTATCTGGATTGAATACAAACTATGGTATTATTGTAGAACAGTTGTATCTCGATTGATAAATAAAGACTAAGAAATACAGAGAGTGTTGTATCTGGATTAAATACAGACAGAAGGTATTATTTTAGACCATTGAGTTTTATAGTGCGTGGTATCTCGATTGACGAATACAGAGGTTGTATCTCGAGTGATAGTTACTGACAAATATAGACTATAGAGGTAGTATCTCGATTGAGATACTGATAAATCCCGAGGTTTTATCAGTATTGATACAGACTTAAAAGACCTTCTTGGACAGATCTTTGTGACATTATTTAAATAAAAATGTCTAAATATAGATAAGCTGAAAATTGTGTTTTCTGAAAAATGCTTATACCCTTAATTTAAAATATTTACATCCTGATATCTAAATGTTTAAACAACTATCTTAACATAGCAATGAAAAATACAATTTATTTCCTCCATGCATTTCACAATGTTTAACTTTTAACCACTCAGACGTCTAGACTTTTTAACCCACTTTCTAATAAAGCCTTTGCGCCTTTTAGCTAAACCAATCATAAACCAGAATTTTACGTACAATTCTGAACCAACCAATGAAACCATGTATATCAAGGAATTAGGTTATCTATATTATATTTTTCGTTATATATTGTGCGCCATTGCAACCCTTTGTGATTATTTTAGTATAAAAACTATGTATATTATATGTATTGTCACTCTATATTGGCACTTCATATTGTACACTCTATTCTCTACTCTTGTGAAATACATGCTGACAGATAAAAGTAAGTATTTTTATATAGTTCTGTCTTTATAGAGTCTATAATCAAAGAGTTTCTGGCTTTATGAGTGTTGAATTAAAGAATGTTGAATTATTGTAAATCAAATATCTAGAAACAGTTCCTAAAGATCTTAGCGTAAAGAATAAAAGTTTGACTTTTAGATAAACTCTTCGTATTTTTTTTTAAACATTGCGTAGCTGTAGTCGTTAATCTGACAATCTTATGCAATAGCTTAAATTTAAAAAAGGGTACAAGTATAAACAAGGATAAATACTCTTATAGTTGGACATTTTAACCTTAATATTCAGATTTACATCACTCTAAAAATTAAGACATTTTTTTATTATAAAAAATATATTAAAGCTTATTTTCTAGAAAAAAATCAATAAATATTAAAAGCTAGATTTTTTGCACCATAGACTTTCAATGGACAAGTCTAAATAGGTCATGTAATATTAAGCTAAATCAATTAATAAGAATGCAGATACTTTTGTATAATAGGTGTTATAACTAAAGGAGCTGGTGAAGATCTTCTATTTGAAGGGGTGTGTTGGTGGTTTGGTCCCTGTCTTTATTTTTGGTTCAAATCTTCCAATTTTTTGAGTTGCATGCCTAATTAGTCATTCTTTTCCTCTAAAATAAAAAATTGGACACTAAGTGACTAATGACCTATAATGACCTTGACAAATAGAAACTATAAACTTTATGCTTATCAAACGAAAACTAGGAACCCAGGAAATACAGTAACAGCAACGAATTGAAAATGTTTTAACTGTGACTTAATTAATTTCAAACGAAAGCTAGGAACCCAGGGAATAAAGTAGCAGCGATGAATTCAGTGTTTGACCTTCTACTGACCTTAAATTACATCCAAATTAAAATCCATTTCTTATCTGGTTCCTAGCTTTCGTTTTATACTCCTGAAGTCATTGTTGAAACATTCTCTATTTGTCAAGGTCATTAAAGGTCATTGGAGGTCATTATTGTCCAAATTTTTAAATTTAAATAGATCCCTAATTAGGCGTGCAGCCAAAACGTTTTAAGATTTTAACCAAAAATGAAGGCAGGATCCCCTCCTCATCAAATAGGACATCTCCATCTTCCCCATTATAAAATAGTGAATTCTATTGATAATTATTTAGAGAAAAGTTTGGAATCTAACCCAAATTAGATAATTGATGAAATCTATGTAAAACAACTTTCATGATAAATTTTGATAATTGGCAAATATATTGATAAAATTAATATAATGAAAATAAAAATAAGCTAGCGCGCAGGTCAGAGTATAATAAGGTAAATTTTGAGAAAAACTGTGTTTTGATGCAAAATTATATGAGAACATAAGGAGACCACAAAGAATTTTTAATGAAAATCTGAGTGCGGGTTTTTACAGAATCCCTTTAACTGTTGGCAAAAAAAATCTACCGCATTTAAAATGGATTTACCTTTTATGATCTTAATCTCGTCAGATATTCTCCTCAGCTTGGCAGAATCTACTAATCCACCTATTCTCCAAACCTTGAATGTGTTCTCTATCTTATCAACCCGTCTCCTCAAGGTTGTACTTGAAGCTCTTAGTGACATCTTGTCCTTTAAAGCTGAATAGTTTAGCACAACTTTGAAATCAGGCTCCGCCATCCTCTCCAAGTTAGACAGCATATTCTCCATTTTGAATGTAATGCTATTTTCTGGAATATAGCCTTTATTTCTTTATGATACATCTTTCGCTCCATGTTGAATATATTCGGTCAAAACGGCGTTTAAGGGACAGACATTTTGCTTACGTTATTTGATCATGCACAATTTACAAACTTGGATCTAAATTTCGATTGTATTCAAAATATGTCTTAACCTAACCTAATCCTAATAAGTACTAATAATAAATACTAATTTCGTCATGTCCAAAATTGATGGGAGGGGGGGGGGGGCAAAAATCGTTCACTAGGACAGACCCTCGCTTCGTTTTTGAGATTGTGAGGTACTTCGCGAAAAATGAAGAATTCGGTCTTTATGCTACCTAGATCGTCACAACGTGTGACTTTTGTCGACTGAGAGAAAAAACTGATCTGGATCTCATAAAATGGCGCGGCAAGACAGCAAAAACCAGTATTCAGTCTTCTTTTCTTGAATTTGTAAACTCGGACCCGATTTTATCCGTTGTCGCATTTCGCCATGACTTCCCACCGAAATCATTACATTTAGCAGAATCCTAGTTCTAATTTCTGATGTTGAATTTAGAAAACCGGTTTGGAACTTTCCAAACACAGGAGAAAAAGTGTACGCTGTGTTCTGTGCAAGTGAACATCACAAAACCGGTTTACCAGGGGCACTTTGTGTTCATTATCACAGGACTCGCAGGGGTGAAAAAACTACAGTCCCCCACTCATTAAAATTGTAAATCATTAAATATACCCCGGGCAGCCATACAAGAGAGGAAAATATCTCAAGATATTTGTAATATAAGATGTATGGGAAAAAATAACTTGATAAAAAAATATAGTTGATCATCTAATCTTCATCAATAAAATGGAATTTCCCCTATCCTTGGTAGAATTAGAGGCACAAGAAGAGATCCCTTAAATTTTGATTTTCAAAAATATTTTTTTTTTTTAATTTCTCCTCCCACCCCAAGCTTATCATAGTTTTGACATAAAAAATGACCAAATCATCTATTTAAAATTCCCGGGGGGGGGGGGGGGGGGGTTAAAAACTTCAGCAATAATTAAAATAATAACTATTACCCCAAAAACCTCCCACCCCGGTCAAAAACGTGTATGAATTAATATAATACAAGAATGCGTTTACACCCTTTGCTAATGGTGGATGTCAAAGTCTACTACAGTCAACAAGAATGGGTTCACACCCTTTGCTAATGGTAGATGTCAAAGTCTACTACAGTCAACAAGAATGGGTTCACACCCTTTGCTAATGGTAGATGTCAAAGTCTGCTACTGTCAATAAGAATGGGTTCACAACCTTTGCTAATGGTAGATGTCAAAGACTACTACAGTCAATAAGAATGGGTTCACACCCTTTGCTAATGCTAGATGTCAAAGTCTGCTACAGTCAATAAGAATGGGTTCACACCCTTTGCTAATGGTAGATGCCAAAGTCTACTACAGTCAACGAGAATATATTTCGACTTTTGCTGAATCAATATGTATTTATAAGTTCAATGAATGCATTCCTGAAAATGTTTTGATTATTTAAGTGCCGACTAATTATCTACTTGTAAATGCACAATGAATGTATATTTAGTTGAGATTTCAATATGTATACTTTGTTTCAATAAAAACGATTAAACAAAATTATCAAACATTATATTTTCAATTGGCTCATAATAAATTTTCTTTTGTTTTTATTTTAAGCTGAACCATCATACAGTATTATTTTGTATTTTGTGTTTTAAAATAAATACTATAACTATAACTAATATAACAAAAAGGATACAGTGATAACCAGAAAACTCTGTAAGAGAAACTTATGACTTTAAATAGTTCAATTAACATGAAACACATCAATTGTGCAGTGTAAACAGACAAAATTCATTTAATATGTGATTCATTACCCTTACAGTGAAGTTATTTGCTCTATAACAACATCAAATACACTTAAGTATTGCTTTCATGTCGTCTTCCTATTCTAGTTTTCTGGTTATCACTGTATATATATATATATATACGCATAGAGGTTGAGCCAGCGCCTTAACGGGGAGGGGGGGGGGCGCAAATGTGCCAGACCCCCTCCTAGGTGAGGCCAAGTCCAAATGTAAGGTAAAATCAGTGATTTTGGATTGTTTTAAAAGGAACAATACATTAACAAGGATTGGGTGAGTTTGGAACATCAAAAGATGAATAAAAGAACAAAAAAATGGGAACTATAACAGGAACATTGACCATTGAGCCAGCTTGGAACAAGCAAAAAAAAGACTACGAGTTTCATCCATGCACTAGGAACATAAGAACAATAAATAAAATACATAATCTAAAGGAACAAAAAAAGATTGTTTGGGAATTAGTAACAAAAATAAAAGATTTAGGGAAAAGGAACACAGTGTTAAGAATAGGAACAAAAATAGTAACATTAAGCAAGTTACAAGTTAGGAACAAAAATGAAAGAACTAGGAATTAAGAACAAAAATTAAACTGGGAACGTAATTCGTAAAACATGAAATAATAATCAACACAGGAAGGTACAACCTACAGGAAGGTACAGCCTACAGGTTTGTTAAGAAACAAAAAAGAAAACTTTCATATACGCAAAAAACGTAATTCATACTGTACATGAGTTAGGAACAATAGTCAACAGAAACAAAAAGAAAGCTAAAAACTAAAAGAAATTACTAGGAAAGTTTTAAGCATATAGATTAGGAACTATATTACAATTTTGGTTGAGTAAGGAACATTACTATGCATATGCAGGTTGGATAGGAACAATATTATAATATAACCTGAATAGAACTCTTCTTCTCTGTCTAGGGGTCAGCTTTCTATTTCTAGGTTTCATGGTGCGGACTCTCAGCAGACTCAGCATGAATCCATCTTGTGAAAAGTTGAATAACGTTTTTGCCCTTTTACTAAGCAATCGAACAACTTAGACAGACATATAATTGACATTAAATGAACTAGGGAAGGAGTGCAGAGCAACCATGAGCCCGCAAACTGACCTCCAAAGCCTCTTGATTCGCAGAATGACCTCCTAGCCAATCAATATCATCTCCGTGCCTTAAGCTACCTTTCCAAGTCTCCGCAACCCAAGTCTACAAATTTGCCAAAAGCCTTATTTTCTAAAAATCTTAAAGTTAACATGATCAAAAGTTTTATATTAATACATAAACAATATTTGTATTAAAAAGTCAACTTTAATTAAGATTTAAGACTTCTTGTTTTGTTTCTTTCTAAATTTCTTAAATTCATAAATATGTACATAACTAGTACAGCTTGATATTAAGATAGTCAAATGTTATATTATTTCCCAGGGGTATTATGTACAAATCTAATTAGTGTATGAGCACCAATTTGTGCTTTTATTGTTTTTAATTCAATTTTTTCACAAAAAAATGTTTAGTTTTTTAAATTGTAGGAATTTCAAGCTTAGTCCAGCATTCTTATCTCCGAAACAAATTTGTCAGAAGCCTTATTTTCTAAAAATCTTAAAATTAACATGATCAAAAGTTTTTTATTAATACATAAACAATTTGTATTAAAAGTAAACTTTAACTGAGATTTAAGACTTCTTGTTTTGTTTCTTTCTAAATTTCTCAAATTCATAAATTTGTACATAACTATTACAACTTGATATTAAGATATTCAAATGTTATATTATTTCCCAGGAGTATTATGTACGAATCTAACTAGTGTATGAGCACCAATTTGTGCTTTTATTGTTTTTATTTCAATTTTTTTCACAAAAAAAAATATTTAGTTTTTTAAATTGTAGGAATTTCAAGCTTTCATTTTCTGGAAACTGAACTTTCTAAAATCTTGAACATGACTATTATTGAAATTTTTAAAACAAGCTAAAAAACATTTAATTGGTCGACTAAAAAGTTCTCCGATCAAAATTTGAGACAAATCGGTCGAAGGATTCTTTCAGACCAAGGAGTATGAAATAGAAGGGAGATACAACTGACACTGACCGCCCTACCATGTGATTATACATTCTTTGCAAACGGTACTCCATTTGTATAAGAAATATTTGTCTGATGTACAATTACATCGTATACAATAACCTATTCTGAATATATAACCTTATAAAAAAAATTAATCAAAATTAATATAGAAAAAATTCATGATTTAAAAGTAAATAAATAAGAAAAAAGAAATGATAAAAAAAAAATGAAGACTAGATTTTATTGTCAAACAATAACAATGACATATGAGACTATAAACTACAGTAAAGTGTCAGATTAACAATAGAATAGTTAACACCGGAGATCCGGCACATTGAGCCAGGTTGGATCCGGCATATTGAACCAGGTTGGATCCGGCACATTGAACCAGGTTGGATCCGGCATATTGAACCAGGTTGGATCCGGCTATATTGAACAAGGTTGGATCCGGCATATTGAACCAGGTTGGATCCGGCATATTGAACCAGGTTGGAAACGGCATGTTGAGCCAGGTTAAATCCGGAATATTGAATCAAGGTTGGATCCGGCATATTGAAACCAAGTTGGATCCAGCATATTAAAACAGGTTAAATCCTGCATATTTAAACCAGATTGGATCCGGCATATTGAAACCAGGTTAGATCCGGCAAATTGAATCCAGGTTGGATCCAGCATATTGAATCCAGGTTGGATCCGGCATATTGAATCACCAGCATATTGAACCTAGGTTTGATCCAGCATATTGAATCCAGGTTGGATCCGGGGCATATTGAATCAGGTTGAATCCGGTATTTTGAACCCAGATTGGGTCCTGCATATTGAAATCAGATTGAAATAATTTATTGTCTTCAGGTTAACAAATCCTGTCCTCCGCCTTGAGATTTAATAATCATCATCATCCTCCAGGGATTGGAGAATGGCAGCTTGTTTACGAGCTGCCTTGGCGGCGTTGGCTGCATCTCTCTCCGCCTTGGCAGCTTCAAGCTGCTCATCTCCAGCTGCCAGTTCAGACCGGATACTGTTGATGAACGGATCAGGGATGAATCTCTCCTCATAGTGCTCCTTAACAAGGATAGATTAATCAGTGTGGAGAAATCTATATCTTTACAACCTGATGGTGTAAACCTTTAAAACTTCGATATTGACTTCTTGCTAATTCTTAGTTAATAACATAATAGGTCTACGACATGGTTGCAAAGATAAACGGTATGAAAAATTAGAATTTTATGCAAGGTTTTCAGGGGCGGACTAAACCAATATCTCAGGGGGCAGGCCATATTTATTTGGGGTCCCCTCACTGGGCCCCCCTTAAACATTGAACAACAAGCAGTTAATTTCCCATTTCTTATTTATTTTAATATTTAGAGATTTACAAATCAAAAATGCTACAGTTTTATTGAGATCGATTAAGCATAAGTATCTTATCGGTAATTAAGAAATCTACAGTTAAGTCGCTGTCCAATTTATAATTTGAATAATTTTAACTGTTAACCAATTAAAACAAATTTTCCATAATAAACATTATGGAACATTTTAGCATTTTTAATATTTTTACATATCTAATCAAAGGTAATAATGTTGGTGATTATCTATTCTTTTTTAAGCACTTACTAACAATTTAATAAATCCGTTTTATTACGTGTTCAATTAATTTTTATAGTGATAACCAGAAAACTCTAAAATAGGAAGACGACTTTTAAAAAGTATGTTAGAACGTGAACTAGTTAAACGAACATTAGACACAGCACGTGTAAAGTGTAAATAGACCCTTTCAATAAATTGTACTTTGCTTAGTTACTAGTAAAAATATTTGCTTTGTAACAACATCAAAACGCTTAAACATTATTCTCACTGTATTTTGTTTCAATCTCTACCTGCCGGTGAGGGTGCAAGGATAGCTGAACACCAGTCGGTAGAGCAGCCCGTATACTGTCTATCAGGATAGGAGCATCTATAGACCTAGGATAGAATAGAATAGGAGCATCTATAGGCCAAGGATGGAATATTATAGGAGCATCTATAGACATAGAATAGTTGGAATAGGAGCATCTATAGACCTAGGATAGAGTAGAATAGGAGCATCTATACTCTATAGACCTAGTGATAGTTGGATTGGAGAAAGTACAACCATGAAATCATTGATTTAGACCTAGGATAAAATAGAATAGGGGCATCTAGACAAAAAAAAAGAATAGGAGCATCTATAGACCCAGGATGGAATAGAATAAGAGCATCTATGGACCTAGGGTAGAATAGAAGCATTTATAGACCAAGGATAGAATAGAATAGAAGTATCTATGGACCTAGGATAGAATAGAATGGGAGCATCTATATACCTAGGATAGAATAGAATAGGAGTGTTTTTAGACCAACAATAGAATCGGAGCATCTATAGACCGAGGATAGAATAGAATAGGGACTTCCATATACTTAGGTCACTAGGATAGAATACAATTTAGACGCATCTGTATATCTATTATAAGAGAGAATAGGAGTATCAATAGACCAATTCACGAAGTCGAACCAGCAATGTAAAATAAATTTGACCATTCTCCTTCAGTTTGGTTGAATGTGCCTTGCCTTGCTCATCAATATTTTTCGTATTTTGTAAAAAATAAAACTGGCTCAAGATTTGAACTAGTAGCTCACAATGAAATCTCTATTGATCTAATCTAATTGATCACTAACCTTAGATTAACAACTTGAACGTTTCGTTCATACAAATTGAGTGAATATTCAGATTTTACTCTAGTTCCTCCAGGATGATATGTGGACATCTAAATAGGAAAAACGGATAAAATCAACAATAAAAAAGGACTTGATTGCTCGCCACAATCTCTAATTTTCGAATCTCTGAACCTTTGCAACCTGAGATGGAATTTAAAGAATTTGAGCCGCGGTTTAAATCTGCCAAAACCCGGTTTAAATTAAGCGCCGGCTTAAATCTTGAAACATTTGATACAATTTTAAGTGGAACCAACCATATTTAAGCCGCGGCTTTAATTTGAACCGCCGCTCAAATTCTTTCGATTCGGCCACTGATGATGTAAACCTTGATATTTAAAACTTTGACGGATTAATCTAAAAAAAATTGAAAGTTTAATGTAGCGAAATAAAAGGATTAGAATATTGAAGTATGAAGTGCGTTACAGTTACGAATTTTCAATGTGCCAAGCCCCACTCATCTGCGGCGGCTTAAGCTCCCAAACATAATGTGCAAGATTTCTTTGGAACAAATTCAGTAACCAAAAAAAAGAAAAGGCAATTTTTTTAAAAATGCAATATGAATATTTACCATGTATGATTTAGCTGGGGTGACCCAGGAGTTAGAAACATTAACTCCCATATTCTCCGCCAGGTTGTGTACAAAGGATTGGTAGGATTCAAGGACACCAAAGTCGTATCCTTTCATCTAAACATTATTAATTCATGATGCTTAAAGATAGATATTAAGGATTCTAAAAATATAAGTTCTCACTGACTAACTAACACTGATATTTCAAAGAACCTAGATTATTACAAAAGAATACAAACATTTTTCATTAATCTAACAAACTTTATTAAAAATAGATTAAACAATTTCAAAATCAAAAATGTTTTAAATAATATTAATATGGAGACAAGGACAAAAAGCAACAAAATATTTTTTTACGGTACTTGTTTTATGAAAATTCTCTCACATTAAGCTATGGAATTTTTTTGTTCAAATAAAATCGTCGAATTTTTTAAAAATAAACATTTCTCGCGAACCTGAATGTTAATTTCTGGGTAGGTTGGAATCTGTGGAACTGAACTGTCCAAATAATCTGGTTCAAAGGTTTTCCGATCTACTCCAGATACAGAGAGAGCTCTGCACCCGGAGATGGGTTGAGGTGAATGGACGGATCCAACTCTCCTCAAAAAGGAGGAATTCACTTTACTCCGAATAATATTAAACATTGTGGAAAGTCTTTGTGTCCAGGAGTAGGGAAATGAACGTTTGCACGCTTAGATCTTGAATCCAAGTGCGCGCATGCAGGCTTTGTGTGCTTCAATCAAATCTCCACAGTTTTCCTCACCCTGAAAACATTAAAATATTGTAATAAATTTTAATTTAATAAAACATGTGATTTAACCCAGATGGAAACAGGAGACTTTTAAACAAACATTGATTTTGATAAATGTATTTAAATTTTTTCCTGAATACAATACATTACATATGCATGATCTTTCAATACTTGAGAAGCAAAGAACAATGTGAAAAAATAAACGTATTCAAGGAACATGTTTAGACATTTCCTTTCCTTAATCATTTAATTCATGTAATTAACAAAATATTCATTGTTTTTTTTTAATAAAACGATAAAAACTAGTAGTTGGTTAAATGGGTGAGTATGTTTTAGGATCCAATATACGTTATACAGTAACTAAACATTTTTTACCTCTACCAAAATTTACAAAAGAATTACATTTTAATTTTAACCTTTCCTCGAGAAATCTTAGCCAGGATGAAAACCTAGATTTGATTAATCTTAGTGAGGATAGGAACAGAGGATAGGAACATCTATTCCGAATGAAACCATGATCTCGTTGAATCTTATTGACCAATGAAACCCTGCTCTAATAAAAATTAGTCCAGACGAAACCCTTAGTCCGGATGATCTACCTTCTCCGTGATGCACTCGTCCCTGGGTTTCCTAGTCTCCGGGCAGGCGCAGCAAGGTTTCAGCTTCTTACCTTCAGCATCTAGAACAGGTTTTAATTGTTTTTTAACGAACACAGGAACTGATCACTTTTATTTTATAATCTGCACCTTGGCGGTGTAATTTCTTTTAAAATCAATTCATAGAACGAAATATTCACGTTCTACCACATTGTCTTGCATAGTTATACGGATTAAAAAACATTAAACAAATCCTTTGTTATCACAAGCAATTACAGCATTTGTTAAAAATGATTTGTCCTCAGTGCTGTTCCATTTATAATTATTCGACCTTCAAAACATTAGATTTAAACTTTAGATCTCATGAAAAAAAATATTAAAATGCAAAGCACGTTAAATTCACGCATATTGTGTAGAACTTTTAGCTATCCATGTTCTATGATAATCATTGAATCAAGAGAACATATTTCCTTGAAAAAGTGCCCCCCCCCCCTACTCTCAAAAATATTTCCCTTAAATAGGCCAAGACAGATGTTTTAAATTTTGAGGTTTTGTTGTTTTTCTTTTTAGAGGCTCAGAAATCTCAATAATAATCTTTAAAAATAAGGTGAAAAGTATGCATTGGAGAACTAATTTTTATATGTAAGGTTATTTCACACTAGTAGGGTATCCCTTCAGCATTATGTCAATAAAAATAGATAGAATCCCTTTAACGGGAGAGGAAGGATATGTCGGACGATTTGAGGCTCAAACCTGTCCCTTCAAGACGGAAAATCGATAGGACGGATCGGACTTAATTCTCCGGGTTCGGTTCAGAGCTAGCTCTCCGGATTATTCACCTACTGGGTAGTTATCCTTCTTCTGCTGTTCATCCGACATTTTAATTTTACAATCTGAAATTGATAAATATATATTTTTAATGATCGGACTGAGATCCAAAAAAAGAAAATCCTCCGTATTTCCGCTCTACTAGATGAAGCACTTCGAACCCAATCTCAATGGCAATGAGGACGATAATAATCCACTCCAGCCTGGACCCGTGCTCATTACTCAGGTGGGTGGAGATAAGCTCCATTAGCTCGAGGCAATGACTTAACTTCTCATTCACTATTTTAGTACGTTTAGCCACCGCTAGATGGGAGCAGGTGGCCATGTAAAGATTTTCCAACCCCTCCCGGTCCCAGTAGAAGTCAGGAGTGTCCAGCAAGTCACTGGAAAGGTTGATCACGTGACGTAAGGCTAAAATTTCCCCGGTTTTCTGCAAGACCTCATGGCGCGTCATTTTCACGTTGGCGTTCTTCTTGAGGTCCTCGGATATATGCTCGATAGAGTCGATTATAGTTTCTAAACAAACAAGATGATAAGTACTATTTTTTTTATTCTCCCTCCTTTAAAGATTTTGTTTTAAGGAACTGAACAGTTGCCAAAAATTATAATTTTTTTTTGCAAATGATATTTCAAATTAGTAGTTGATAAACAGAAAATTCTTATAAATTTCATAGGTCAACAACGTCAGGTTTGAAAGATATGCCGTGCTTAGGATCCTGGATTCGGATCCGCGAAAATCCACGGATTCGGATCCAATGGTCAAAATATCAACAAAGAACTGCAAAAAAAATATCGTTTACTCCCATAATCAAAATCTGAACGGATGAAAAATGAGAGATTATCAAAAATTTCCTTTTCTCTAAAAGGTTCATAAAGCTTTAGCATAATCCACGATCCAGATCCGCATAAAAATCAAATGAATCCTAAGCAGATGATAAAATTATGACAAGGGTTCAGTTATTTTTCAGATATTCCACTCCACGTCCGAAAATATATTCTATATTTAATGACAAAATATTTTAATTCTTTGGAAGTGCTTTCAACGTTATTAAAAAGGGGTTTACTAACCTAAAGATGCTTCCCAAGCTCCCAGTTTAACACTGGCTGCAATTGCGTCCGAGAAAGTATATTTTGCGAGAACGTAGGACGGAGAATCGGGGTTCACGTAGATTATCCCCTTCTCCAGGTACGCATTCTCATTCAGAGTCGGAGTATAGTTCATCATCTCGGACTCCTCGTAGATGAGATCCTCCTCGTACCCTTCCACGGAGTAGTTCATCAGAAACTTTAGTACATTGTTTCTCTCCAGTTCAGGAACATTCCAGAAAACAACATTTCCGTCTTTGAAGAAAAATATTTCCTGAAAAAAATCATATTTTAGAAGAGGGACACTGCAAAAAGTGTGGTTTAAAACAATAATGATATTACAGGGAGTGAAAAAAACCAAATGTTAGTTAGATACTATCTTTTAGAGTCGAGTAGGAGAAGGAAACTGAATGAAAATGAATAAGATCAAAGAACAAAGTTCAAACTTTATTTCTTCCTTCAGGAATTTTTATTGAGAGCTGGAGGGGAATATCATCTGTAGCCATTTTTTATTGCTTTCTAGTATTATGCTGGTCGCCATATTGGAAACGTTTATGTAATCGATTCCTCAAATTTGTTTTTATATTCACATATGGAAATTTAAATTATAATTAATTTGTTTTAATGCAACTTATTCAAGGACCGGTTTAAAGGGGGAGGGGGTGATTTTTATACGCTACAAAATATCAAGGAATTCTTCCTTTGCTTTAGAGGGAGTAGCCGGCAATGTATGGTAGTTGAACTGAGAATGTAGTATTGTAGAGAAATTTTTTAGGATTCATTTGAGACATATTAACGTACTGAGTTTAAACGCAAAGTCGACGTTCAAAATCATCCACTTGGGTGGTGAACCCATCACTATATTGTTTGCAAAATGCAGCTAAAGCGTCAAAGGAACTTCATTCCCTATTTAAGAATAAAAAAATGTGGCGTAAAAGTCATCAATTTTCAAAATTCTCAAACCAAAAATGTCGATTTAGATTATGTAGATAAAGAACCATCAGATCAAATGAAAAACTAAGTTGTCAAGATTAAACATTGAAAAAGATGCGATCAAAGTCAAATCCAATTAAATTTTATAGTTCCAACCTTGTTTTGTTCCTCTAAGTCTGATTTGTATTTATTTGTGACGTAGAGACAGTTCCCATAAAGTTCATCAATTAGGCTTATCTCGGAGTATATTAATTGACGCTGTAAACCTTAAAAATTAAATCTTTATAAGATATGTTGACAGTGCTTTTTTTCGACAGTGCTTCATTATGATACAGATACACTCTAAAAAATCAATTCGGAAATCAAAAATGCCCGAAATTTTTCTTCTTTTGGGCTTCATTTTACGCTGAGGCTTGATTTACTACTGAAGAGATCATCAGGAATGTTGAAATTAATTTTTTCCACGCTTGATGTTTGTATTTTGAGAACAAACTACTTGTTTTTATATTTTGGTTGTTATTTTGCGGATCCTACTGTTAATAACAAAATATCAGAACAATTCAAGAAAGAATTGTGAATATTGTTGTCATAATCATAATTTAGAGTGTTAACAGTTTTGGTAGATTTTAAATAGTTTTTATTTTTACTTCTAGGGAAGTCAAATATAAAAGTTGATTTTATTTATATTAATTGCGAATTTAATTTGGCATTATTTTTAGTACATGGAGAGGGAGGGGGGGTTCATTACCTATTGTGTCCTGAAAACCCCCCCCGGAATCCATCGATTTAGTTCTGATCCAGGAGGGGCTCAACCCCCCCTGAATACACCTGACAATAGCTACCTTCTTGCAACCCAAACATGTCGAATGAGTTTGCAGCAGAGTATCCGACAACACTCCATTCATCCTTACCAGGAGTTGTTTTCTTCTTTCCTGACCTCGCTTTAAACCTAGTCGAGTACAGATATAATTTAGAATTCTCGTGATAGGACACCATCTCAAAAAACAGGAGAGAATAATTTTAAAAAAGTCTTTCAAAATTTTAATTTTAAAGATCTGTGGGGGAAAAAAGAAAAAATTGGACATCAAGAGGCAAGTTTGTTTTGTTAATTTTTATTCATGTTCTTCTTTAAACATTTTTTTTCCAATTCTGAAAATTAATCTTTGTGACAGAAACAATCTCAAGAACTGACGAGGGTCAAGCCAGACCAAAATATATTTTTAATAAATGTGGAACTGACATCTACTTTTTTACTCTACAGAGGTTTGGTCCATCACCATCACCAAATTTTAAATAAAACTCTAAAAATAACATACTTAACTTCTGTGGAAAAAATAATTATTTTCAAAAGGGGGAATGATAATCAAGAAAATATTCACTCCCGAAAAAAAACTAAAATGAAAGGTTTTCGTTTATTTTGACGGTCAATTAACCTTTCCTAGGATCATGCGAGTTCCCATGAAAAATGTGTGTCTTCTTCTTTAGACTTTGATTAAAGAGAAAAAAACAATATTTCAAAATTTGCGAATAAATATTTAAAACAAACAAAAACAGTATACTAGAATGTAAGAATCAATGAATGAAATTTCTTTTCGCGAATTACTCTCTATTTAACGATAAAAAAAATCAATAACAGCCATGATCTGACACATAAAAATGTAGACTTTTTCGTCGTATTAAGACTTTTTCATTAAAATATACAGTTCTGGTTTCATCCAATTGGACAATATAAACTGAGCAAATGAAAATAATATTTTCTTTGAATTAATTATCAAATGACTTGAAGCCAAAGTTGAAGATTATTATCGAGCCTTATCACTCAGAAGCTCAGAAAATCCTGGATAAAAAGATCTGTTGGATATCGTGCTTCAATGATTGGACATTTGATATTAAATTTAAGTCTGATCGATTTGACGTTTGGACGTTTGTTGAATACAAACAAAAAAACAAAGACAAGCATATATGTAAAGAGATCCGTCCTATTTCTAGACCACCTTCCCCTGTTATCAGTTTAGTACATGACCACTAATTTTCAACAAAACAATTTAAGGAAATTACATATGTAGAAATGTTGATTTAACATAATAGAATATAGAAGGTATGAATTGTGTGGTAAAATATGCAAAAACATTGTATTTATTTATAACTTATCATTGTAACAGTAAGAAAAAAGTATACAAATGTATTTTAGAATGTAAAATGTTTATTGCAATTATTCATTGATTTCATTTTGTTTGTCGTCTTCGGTTTTTGTAAACAACAGCATCGTCACTCGTCAGCTGTTTATTTTTAAAGTGATTTTTAATAATTTCTTATAAGTTGGACAAAAGTTGAGCTATGCTATTTAAAATCACACTACTCAGGATTTAAGTAAATTTCCCACCGTTTCAAACCTATTTTTGATTGTTACATACAATAATCTAATTTATACTAAAAAAATTGTTGGTTAATGGTAATTTCCTAGAGAACGATTTTTGGACCCCCCTCTCCCCCCGGGCCCTCCCCCCTCCCTCCTATCAAATTTGTACATGGATAACACATGTGGCCTCAGCACCCAGCCTGACCTAGCCGCAGTGCTCGTCCCAGAAATTGTCTTGACCTAATCTAACCTAAAAAATATTTTTGCTGAAAAATGAAAAATAAGTGGTCATGTACAAAATTGATACGAGGGGGTGGCGGGTCCCGTTTTAATTGTTGACTGAAACTCATTAATATCTTATTTCATTGTTATTTTTTTCAGATCAAACCCAAGGATTGATAAATTTGTTTTTGTGAAGAAGTAGGTGAACAAAATGGCAGGTATGAAACCTGACGAAAACCCCAACATATTCCATTATGCATACAGCTGTGATATATCATCCAACCTTAGTATAAAGATCGGTTCCCTAGAGGGTAATCTTCCTAAACCAGACTTTGATCAGATTATCCTGAATCCTATTCTCCGGTTTGCCGGAAGGAACTATGAGAGTCGGACCCATTACCCCTCCCTCATGGTGGAAGCAGTGGTTATGCTAGAGAACGAAGAGCTTCATATTCCCGTCCGAACCTCGTACAAACATTTTGTCAACCGTTGGTCCTGGAATCAGTGGGTTTATCTACCTATCAAGTTCTGTGATCTACCCAGAGATTCAGTTTTATGTTTCAATATCTTTGATTGTAACGGACCTAACGATACATTTTGCATAGGTAAAGTTTTTAACTTTAATTGGATGACCCCCTCACCGCCTTGCAAAGATTCTCTACTGTACCCTTGAAACCTTTATCTGAACAATAATGTGGAAGATATTGTCGTTGTTCTAGGCCTAAATTGTCTGATTCTTATAATGCCTCTATGTTTTTCAGCAATAGAAATTCCCTTTTGTAGAGAAACCACAATTGAATATTGTCAGTTTACAACATTTGCAAACATTGTTATCTAATATATTCTTGACCAGACAGAGCTTTTAAAGGTACTGCTGTGAAGATGCTATCTCATTTGGACTACTGCCGTTTGAACTATTGTTCATTTCAACTACCAAACGAGTAAATATATTGCTCATTTGAACTATTTTTTAGTTCATTTGAATTATTAAAATATTATTAATGAAATAAACAAAAAATAGTTCAAATGAACATAAAAATAGTTCAAATGAAAAAAAAATAGTTCAAATGAACAAAAAAATAGTTTAAATGAACAAAAAAAAAGTTTAAATGGACAAAAAAATAGTTCAAATGAACAAAAAAATAGTTCAAATGAACAAAAAAATAGTTTGATTTGAACTATTTTTTACCTAACCTAACCTAACCTAACCTATTTTTTTGTCCATTTGAACTATTTTTTAGTCCATTTAAACTATTTTTTTTTCATTTGAACTATTTCTTTTTTCATTTGAACTATTTCATTTGAACTATTTCATTTGAACTATTTCATTTGAACTATTTTCATGCTCATTTGAACTATTTTTATGTTCATTTGAACTATTTTTATGTTCATTTGAACTATTTTTATGTTCATTTGAACTATTTTTATGTTCATTTGAACTAGGATTGTTCCGTCAAGGATTGCTAGATATCCAGGTCTGGTCAAATCAGAGAGCTGACGGACGGATTGATGGAAATACTCCAGGCAAACTCAGAGATAAGGTAGAACTGAGAAGGTTTTAATCTTTTTTACAATATTGTTCTTTTTTTTTTGCTATTTGGAGGCGCCAAATATAAGCAAACTTCTGAAACACAAAAACTGAACAATTCAAATTCATCTTTTCATCTTCTTTTTTTCTCTTTACAACAGGGGCGTAAATAAGGATTATGTAGGGGGGTAAATTTTTTAATGTTGCCCCCCCCTAGATTTTTTTTACCCCACCCCCCTAGAAAAATATCATGATGTATATCAAATTATTCGTTTTAGTTGGGTTTGATTTGCATTTTCCACTCATTTCTGGCATTAATAAACTCCATCAAATAAAGGCTTCATTTCCTACCTTTCAGCTTTCACTTGTTTTATATTCTTCATTTTAGTCATTCATTTGACATTAACTACAAAGACCTGTAAAAAAAATTGAATTTATTTTAAGTAAAATAAAATTAGTTTTACTCTAAGAAGAAAAAGATGTAACTTTTTTAAATCTTTAGAAAAGCTACTCTGCAAAACTTTGAAAAAATATTTGTTGTTTTAAATATATTTTATCTATGTCTAGGAGAAGGAACAGTTTCATCGATTAGCAAAACTAAGTAAGAAATACCACAGCGGGAAACTACCGGCTATAGACTGGTTGGATAGGCTCACATTTTCACAGATTGAGAGAATAAATCAAAAGGATCGTTTATATATACATATATATATAATCTCTGTTTGTCTGTATGTCTATTTGTATGTTTGTCCGATCCGATCATAACTCAGGAACCCCTGGACCGATTTTTCTCAAATTTTTGTTTCAGAACTCGGGAGATCCACGGGAATGTTCTTAGTTTGATTTTGAGATTCTAAGTTGAGTGTGTCGACTTTTATCGGGAAAAATAGCTAAACTCATAAATTACGAACGACCAAGTGCGGGTAAACGGCAGAAGTAACTGTGAGTAATCTGGGCAACACTGGCATGATTTCAGAACCACAATTTATTTATTAATGTATTCAACAAATTCAACAGAAATACCGCCTTTGTCCATGGTTTTTAAATCTTGTAATACTCAATACTCAATACTGTGTTATCCATGGGAGCAATATGTTATGATTTCGCTTGCAATAGATAATATAAATATAATCATGCACACACACATAGGGTTAAGCACAAAGATGAGACTTCGGAGAAGACAACGCAGTGTATTCAGCCTCTTAAAATTTTTTGAAATTCAGGGTTTGTTTTATCATTAACTTTTTTGCCTTCTTTACCAAGTCATTTAGTAAACCTTTAAAAGACCCAAGATCAAATCATACCTTCATATTGTCAGAATAATAGCACATCAATTTGTCATTGAAGTCTCAACCTTTCTGGTTATCTGATCCGGATCCGCATTAAAATTAAATGGATCCTAAGCACTGCTGTAAACTCCGATGCTCTGTGTTTATCTAAATATATAAACTAAATTAAAACAGGATAAAGCGGATTCAGCCAAGATGTTTCTTAACATTGAGTTCCCCCAGATCATCGACATGGATATGCCGACCTCCGTCGTCTACTTCGAGGAGAACGCGGACGTGGTGGTCGAACCTCCGGAAATCACTGATATGGTGACATTTCCAGATCCCGAGATAGGTAGATACAATCAAACGAGACAAGAATAGGGGATATTTACATGTTACTCTGACCGGTCCAGGAACTAGTCTAACTGTAAAGAGAGCAAACATTGTAAACAAGGCAGTACAAAAGCGCTTGGCCGGAGCACATATTGGTTTACAAAATGGTGTTTGTTTACACTAGTTCCTGTGCTGTCCTATTACGCTAGAATGAAATAAAAACAATAAAAACAATAAAAACAATGTTTATTCACCTCTCTTTAGTTCTCTATATATCTCCTTGGGTAGATAATTTTATTGGTATTTTACGCTTGTTTTCGAATATTTGGATCAGGGTTTTTTTTTAATGTAAAAATCTAAAAATAAATACAAAGTTGTTTAAATATTTGAAAAAAGAGATATGGAAGTTAAGTTCTTTTTTTTCTCAATCCTGAATTCAATGACACATTGTTTAGGTTTAGAGAATCTAGTGGAGAAGAAACATTACAAGCTCGCTAGATCCCACCGAACCGGACTCACGGAGAGAGAGTTAAAGCCCAACCCTGAAACCAGGAACAGACTGACCGCTATTCTCAGCTCTCCTACCACTCAGGCGCTGACCAGTGAAGAGCAGGATCTGCTTTGGAGGTTCAGGTACTATCTGGCGACTAACAACAAGGCCCTCAGCAAGTTTGTCAAGTGCGTGAACTGGGAGGCGGAGTTGGAGGCGAACCAGGCGATGGAGCTGATTAGTAAATGGGCTCCAATGGACGTGGAGGATTCGTTGGAGCTTCTTGGACCCAACTTTACGTATCAACCTCTTAGAAAATATGCGGTTCTGCGTCTTTCACAGGTTCCAATCTTCTCTTTCCTCAATATTCAAACGGCTAAGACCTTTCTTTATGAAATGCGCCTTGCTTCTACAAAACAACCATATCTCAGAATTGAGTTATTTTAAAGCTATTTGATTTGATTTATTTTTAATTTCGACAATGCCCGATTTGCAACGTTACCCTTGAAACCTTAATCTGATTAAAAATGTTGAAGATAATGTCGTCGTTCTGACTAGAAATGTGTTTATTTCTGATAATTTGTCTTTTGATTCTTATAAGTAAGAAATGCTCAAGTCACTTTTGCAGATAAACCACCAATGAAAATAAACAGTTGAAATAAACAAAAACATATATATCTAATTCATGTTTCATCATACAAGCTTTGAAGGGTACTATTGTAAATTGGACATTGCCATCTTTGCATGGAGCCCGAAGGTTCACTTTAAATTACACTTACAGTCCCCTTAAATGGAGAGTCACTTTAAATTACCTTTACAGTCCCTTTAAATGTAATTTTTAGGCGTCAGATTTAGATCTTCAGCTTTACCTTCTGCAGTTGGTTCAAGCTCTCAAATATGAGAAAAGTTTCACCTCAGATGTTTTCTGCGACGACACGTTAACCTCTCAAACTGGGCTTTCAGAGGAGGGGATGAGTGAGAGTGCACAGTCCCTTCCTCCGACCAACATCTCCATAGAGGAGGAGACAGCAGGGAGTCTGTTCTTGGAGAACCAGGAGAATCTGAACCTTGCATCCTTCCTGATCTGGAGAGCTTGTAACAACTCGAGCCTAGCGAATTACCTCTACTGGTATCTGCTGATTGAGTGCGAGGAGCTGGAGGGAGGGATGAAGAAGGACGAGCTGGTCCAGTTCATGTACAAAACTGTTCTCAACAAGTTCCTTTCCTCCCTGGAGAAGGGTTCCTCCGTCCTACGGGAACGGAAACTGTTCCTGGATCGTCAGCATCAGTTCCTGGACAGAATTGTCGGGCTAGTCAAGAACGTTGCCAAGGAATCCGGGAACAGGAAGAAGAAAATTGAGAAGTTGCAATCTCTGCTGGTTGAGTCGGATTCGGAAGACTTCTCCTTCCTTCACTTTGATGCGATTCCGTTTCCGTTGGATCCCGAAATACGGATTACCGGGATTGTTCCGGAAAAGACGACTTTGTTTAAATCCTCTTTGATGCCGGCGAAGCTAACGTTCACCACTGATACCGGAGAGGAATACGTTGCCATCTTTAAACTTGGAGACGATCTTAGACAAGATCAGCTGATTTTACAGGTAGAAAAAAAAATACAAAATTAAAATGATAACTCTAAACACAGCTGATTTTCTGACAATTTTGAAACATTACGATGCTGAGTGTTGAGTGTATTTGAGTTTTAAAGTTTAAGGGAACTATATAGACAACATTTCAATTCACCCTTCGTTAAGTACCATGTCCGATTTACGCCGGTACCATTTTAAAAGCTTTGCATGATCAATAATGAATAACATAATCATGCTTTTAACCTTGAAATAGGATTACTTTCTATCGTGTGTTCTCTTTAAAGTGATTTGCGCAGGATCAACATGATATCTGTCACATAATTAATCAGTAAAATGTTCAAAGTTTACCATTGCGAATCAGGCATGCCCCTCTTTAATGGGAAGGCCGTTTAAAGCAAAGCGCGGCAGTCCCTTTACCGGAAAACCAAGGAAACCAGTTGGCGAAAAATGTTTAATGAAATTATCTCTCTTTTTCCTAGATTATAACTTTAATGGATCAACTGTTACGAAGAGAGAACCTAGATCTCAGATTAACTCCGTACCGTGTACTCGCTACCTCCTCTAAGCACGGGATGGTTGAGTTTGTGGACGCATACGCTATAGCGGAGATTCTCAGCTCCGAAGGGAGTATTCTCAGTTTCTTCCGAAAACACAACCCGTTGGAGTCAGGTCCTCACGGAGTGTCTGCAGAGTGTATGGATACCTACGTCAAGAGCTGTGCTGGATACTGCGTGATCACATACCTTCTGGGAGTAGGAGATAGACATCTAGATAACCTCATGCTCACGAGGTAGACATCTTTGTAAAAATAATCTTTTTATTATTGAATATCTAATTTTTGAAAACGGGAGGATTCTGTATATACATACAAACAATTTTGACGCAAATTGATTTATCTATGGGTTGTTGATTGATTGATTTAATAATGGATTGATTGAATAATTGGCTTTAATTTTATTTTTAACATTTTTATTTACACACATACATACATACAATTTTGACGCCGATTGATTTGTCTATTGGTTGTTAATTGATTGATTTATTAATGCATTGATAGATTGATAGATCACTTTAATTTAACAGATTTAATAAAATAAACCTATATTTTTGGACTGCCAGTAGTTCTCTACAAGGGATTTAAACATCAGCGATCTTCTTTGAATTTTCCCTTTTTAATATTAATTTATGTACAAAATATATTTGTTTATTATTAATAACAGTTTGCGTTTTTTATGGCTAAACTTCTTAACATATTTGAGGGGATGGGTCTGCGTTTTGAGGGGGAGGGGGTGATTTTTAGGAAAATCTGAACTAATCTTGAGTCTGTAAACCTATTATCTAGGTCCGGTAAATTGGTGCACATAGATTTTGGATATATTCTGGGACGGGATCCTAAACCTCTTCCTCCACCTATGAAACTAAGCAAGGAGATGATCGAAGGAATATCATGATTTGGAAAACTCATTTGATCCAAGATTAAAATATACAATCTTTTTGTTTAAATGGTGATATTTCAAACATTTACTGAGGTTATAAATCATGATATTTGGGCTCAGGGTTCGGTGGAGTTAATAGTGAGCATTATCAGCAATTCAGAAGGTATAGTTTAATCACTTCAAGTACTCTACTGTATCTAGAAACAAAAGCTGGTCAGAATTAATTAGTATTAATGAAAATTTCAACCAATAAATCCCGAAGATTAATTTGTGGTTTTTATTATTAAACGTTACAATGTAACGGCAGTAACAAGACAAAGAACAAAACGGAATGAATATATTTTATCTAACTTAAAGCATGAGGTTAAAACATATATATTTGGTTTGAACTAGGCTCAGAGCAAAGACACCATTTTGGTTCCTCTACAATAATTTGTTTAGGGAGTGTTACACGGCGTTTTTGTATCTACGACGGCAGTCTAATCTAATCCTGAATCTGTTTGGTCTGATGGTGGATGCTAGTGTACCAGATATTGCTCTAGAACCAGATAAAACTGTGAAGAAGGTTCAGGTAGGAACAGTTTCAAGTTCTCCGGGTCTAGAGATTACTCTTTACCAATTTAATTTAATTTCTTGACCAGAGCTGGAAACTTTAATATACGGACTTGGTTAAACTTATTCTCTCCTCGCGATCTCTTATTGGTCAAAGCTCCAGAGATTACCAATGACAGATGAGAATGAATTAAGCTCATTCCGACCAGGAAATGTGTTCATAAATTCCCGTCAAGCTAATGGTCTATATTTTCTCGAAAAATCAACCCCCCCCCCTTTTTTTTAAATAATTTTGTTCCCCAGAAGTTATATTTTCGACGTGCGGAACATGTTTTTTAAGGTTTTATCCGTTAAATTGGGGAAATTAAATAGTTTTTATGGGAAAATAAATAATTAAATAATTATATAAATAAATGTTTACATGAAAAACTAAGCTAGTAGATGTGTGTCTTGCTATGAGACTATTGAAGCAAGTTCTAAGCTTTGCATTAGATTTCTTTCTAATTTATGTAAAAATGACCTCAACACAGTTCTTGGCAGAAATTTATTTTCTATTGCAAATGATTGTTCTGTAAATCCTTCGGATCTTAGTAAAACAAATGAAATATTTTGATGTCCCATTGGACGATGCATTGAAAGTTCGGATTTTACAAGAACTTTTAAATACAAGAATAAATAATTTATATGTTGAAGGATTCGATGATTACGTAATAACTGAAATGATAAATATGATATGTAATAAGTAATGATATTTTTCTTTTGTCTTTTGTAAAACTATAAATTCAACCATTTATTTAAACTACACCATTTATATATATATATATATTCATATCTTTGTGTGTGAATAAATCTTTATAATAAAAAATGAATATTTAGGAATAAGTATCAAAAAGAATTTTTTAAAAAAACTTTTCTTTTGATGTCCAGCTTTTCCTTTTTTCCAGGTCACAAAAAATCATCTCTCCTTCAAAATATACAATTCCCGGCGTCATGGATTTAACTGTAAACAGACATATTTTTAGTTGATATTTTTGATCCAAAACAAAGTAACGTGTAAAATTGAATAAGTTTTTTGTTTAGGATAAATTTCGGTTGGACTTGAACGAGGAGGAGGCGGTACAGTACATGCAGAATCTGATAGACGTGTCGGCAACCGCAATAATGGCCGCCATGGTGGAACGGTTACATCAGCTGGCGCAGTATTGGAGAAAGTAATCTGTACAGTACAGTGTTGTAATATACAGTACTGCAACGTACATAGATCATTTAGGATGATTACGTATATATGTACAAAGCTAAGCATAATATTGAATATTGTTTGAGCTTGACAAGTTTGACACTAAATATAACGATAAAGTGATGATGTTAAAATGTGCAATTTTTCACCCTTGTAAACTACACACTGTGCAAGTGTGCTGTTAACACTGTATAGTGTATATAGTAAAAGAATTAATTTATCTATACAACCATGTAATTTAATTTTAACATTGATATTTATTAGTTATTAAAATGATGTCTCAAATGTCATCCATTCTATCTCTGCCTATTTTTTTTACGGGGTTCATATGGGAATATTTTGCGTGTACCACATTTAGGTTAATTTGGTTCTCTTTCTCCCTCTCGAGATTCTGTGATATCGTCAAGTAAATTTATTATTATTTATATTTATAATTTTTCAGAAAGGATGGGGGCAGGAGGAAAGGAAGTCTCCCTGGACGTGTTTGAATCCCATCTCAAGAAGCTGCTCCACATCATTGACAAGCTGCCAAAGGTGGAGAGGGAGAAAGCGGTGTTGATCCTGAGGAACTCTGCCAACCATTACTCCAACCTGACCACAGGACATCCTCTACAACCTCCACCAACATGTTCTATATTCTCAACCTTACCTTCCTGCAATCAGGTATCATTATTATTTATATAATCAGTACTAGGAGGCCCTGTTCAGTGTGTTACACTTGCAATAATATTTCCTTGATAAGTAAATCTTAAACAAATCATAAAATACCCATTTCCCTGTCGTTTTCAAAATGTCGTCTTTCTTTGTTATGCTTCTTTCCGGAGAAATTAAGAATTTTTGGAAAGTTTAATTTAATAGATATCACCTATCTTGTCTTAGCATTCAAATTTTCATTTCAAGAAGGTAGAAACGCGTTGGAAAGCTCACAAGTCCTGCAATCTTTGTCCTAATACACACTTAGTCAAGTTTTAAAAATCTTTAGATCGTCTCTCAAATATCATGTATATTGGTAAACGCTGTATCTTATCATTTTCTACTCAGTTCTCATCTTAGTTACAAGGTTTACTAACTTCTTACTTAAGTTATTTGATCCCAGCCTAAGATCATAAGATGGTTTAAATATCAAGTTTAGGTCCTTTAATTTCAGGCTCTTTCGGAGATACCAGTATCACAAGTCACAAAAACCTTCGATCTATTAAAGGATGAAGCTCTGGGAAAACAATCCCAGCACCCAGAGCAGTCTCAGTCACATCTTGAGCAGTCTCAACAGCAGCTTCAGCATCCGGAGCAGTCTCAGCAGCAACATGGGCAGTCTCAGCACCTTGAGCAGTCTCACCAGAATCTCCAAACTCATCATGCTGAGTTAGGTTCAGTTATCCTGGAGAACCAGACTGTAGAGGACGTTATCTCAGACAAATCCGAGAGTCAAGCAATCCTTGAAGAGATAGGAGGTTTAGGAGACGAGGATACAGGAGTACAGGTAGGGTAGGATACCAGGATACAAGAGTACATGAAGGATAGGATACCAGGATACAAGAGATCAGATAGGATAGAACACCAGGATACAGGAGTATAGGTAGGAAAGATTACCGGGGTACAGGAATTAATGGAGAATAGGATTCCAGGATACAAGAGTACAGGTAGGATAGTATGCAGGAGTACATGAAGGATAGGATACCAGAATACAAGAGATTAGGTAGGATAGAACACCAGGATACAGGAGTACAGGTATGATAGATTACCAGTATACAGGAGTACAGGTAGGATAGTATGCAGGAGTACATGAAGGATATAGGATACCAGAATACAAGAGATCAGGTAGGATAGAACACCAGGATGCAGGAGTACAGGTAGGATAGATTACCAGGATACAGGAGTACAGGTAGGATAGATTACCAGGGTACAGGAGTAAAGGGAGGATAGGATACCAGAATACAAGAGATCAGGTAGGATAGAACACCAGGATACAGGAGTACAGGTAGAATAGATTACCAGGGTACAGGAGTACAGAATACCAGGACACAGGAGTACAGGTAGGATTGATTACCAGGGTACAGGAGTACATGAAGGATAGGATACCAGGATACAAGAGTACAGGTAGGATGGGAATACAGGAGTACAGGCAGGATAGGATACGGAGCCAAAAGATCAAAAAACAAGTAAAAATTTAATATAAAAACTCTCTGTCAAGGATGGATTCATGGAGGATGAGGATGATTGGGATCAGCATATTCTAGAAATCCAAAACCAAGGACGGATAAATCGACCAGATCCTTCCCTCCTCTCCGATACCTCAATGCAGCCTGCACGATCTCATCCAACAGATTCTGTTTCTAACCATAATTCCGCACTTCCTAATACCTCTGTACCCATATCAAACCCAGAAAACAATTCGTCCGTCTCCGAGACTGTAAACACCAGTGTTTCTGGGTACCCGGAGTTCGAAAGAATTGAGACTGATGCTCCGAATATAGTTGAGAAGCCAGCAACTAATAATGAATGCAAACTTTGTTTTAAAAGGTAAAAGGATCAACTCTTGAGGTCATCAAAACTTTCTAAAAAATTTCTTGGGAAATTTAATTGATTTTTTCATTGTCTTTATGAATTTATGCAAATATGAAGCATTAAGTGCTTGATGCATGCTATTGATCCAATGATCAAGTTCAAAACTACCTAATTTTTTTATCGGGATCATCCAACTTCTGAAGGGCATTAAAATCCAAAAAGAACATAGAAGTATGCAAATAAGCCTTATTTTCAATGCGACATATAAAATTTAACTTGGAATTTGTTTTTTAGGATTATTTGATTAGTGATTAATTGATTTGTAGGATGAGCGATGTACCTGGAGTGACCTGTAAGGTTTGCCGGCTCCAAGTTTGCGGTCAACCCTGTCTTCTTGTGCACGAACAGGAATGCTCTCAATCCGGCGAAGTGCAGGTATTTATCTATAACAAGTCAATCAAGATGCACAATTTAATCTTTAATATTATTTTACTTATTTTTACTTTGTTCAGTATTGTAGCGGGACTACCCGGACGGATGGTAAGAAGAGTAAACAGGACTACTGGTGCAGTTTATGTAATAAATATTTTCTCACCAGCTGTACTTTGAAAACACACATGGAGGGTCACGCTAAGAACGACTGTGATAAGTGCAGCACACGGTGTGCCACCCGTCGTATCCTCGTGAGTCACATGAAGGAAGTTCATTTCATTAATATCGCGGAGAAGTACTACGCCTGTAGGTTCTGTTCAAGGAAGTTTGTGAAGAAACCGTCCTTGTGGTTTCACTACAGTACTCATGCAACCGGAACTCAGGTGGTTTGTCACAAGTGTGGAGAGTTTCTGGAGAACCAGGAGAGCATGGATAAACACACAGCAAACCATAAGAGCACGCAGTTATCATGTGACCGGTGCGGTGAGTTCTTTAGCAGAAGACAACAATACAATCTACACATTAAAACTCATGATGACTACGCATGCACACTGTGCACAAAAGCTTTTTCCTCTAAGAAGCGCTTAAGCGTACATAAAGTAAAAGAGCATACTTCCAAAGGAGAAAGAAAAGCCGGGAAGGGTGCTAATACTAATCCTCCTCAAGCTAAACCCAACGAGCAGAGAGTAGAGGAGTTGGATGGAACGAAACCCTTGAAATCCTTCAAGTGTGGGTTCTGTGTCTACGAGAACAAGAACTACAAGAAGGTGATGAGACATGAGAGGAGACACAAGAACCTCAGGAAGTTTGTCTGTGAACTCTGTGGGAACGCATTTAACACGGAGTACACTTTGAAAGAGCATACAGCATACGTTCACTCTGACGAGAGAAAGTTCAAATGCTTTAAATGTGAAAAATCGTTTAAAGCGAAAAATGCTTTAATTCGACATGAGCAGGTTCATACAGAACAGCGTCAGTTCCGTTGCCACTGTGGGAAGAGCTATAAGAGACAATCTCATCTGAACCGACATTTCTCCGCATCCTCACACGGATATTCAACCAAGCCGGATCCAACCCCGGAGTCTACCATGACGGAACCTATGCCAACCGTTGCTATTAAACCTGAATACTCGGGGATAACTGCCTCTAGTGATTTATGGATACAAGGCGAGGACGGGTTTGATAAGAAAATCTCCAGTAATCAGTGTGAGGTCAGAGCGAGTTCGAAACTCGAGGTTAAGTCTGAATCTCTTCTTGGATATCCTCCATCCTCCTCCTCCTCCTCTTCCTCTCTGGAGTACATGAAGATGACTACAAAGGTCGACTCGAGGAGGATGCAATACAACGAGAAAGTGGATGAGCTAGAAAAACTCAAATATTACAAGATACCAAAAAAGTATTCTTCTCCACAGAAGTACTCCTACTTCCCGGAGAAACCTTTGAGAACTGGTTTCCCGGAGTTAGGACCTGGAGCCGAAACTTACAGAGATCCGTCCAGGAACAATCATCTTCAATCTTCCAAGTATCAGTATGATAATCCTGTGAGTAAACCCCACTATCCTCCTGTCCACAATAATCAGAGACATTTTCAGTCGGATCTCCAGGATAGAGGAAACCATACTAGCTCAGACAGGATTGTTCAAAACTTCCAGGATAAGTTCCACACTTCGGAGTATCCGGACAAAAATATCCCAGAGATGGATAGAGATTTCTTTGATCGATATCCAGGTAATCATGACAAGATGGACTACTCTTCTTCTTTACCGGAGAAAACATATCAGGACTTTTCGGACGACAAGAATTACATACTTCCTGTGGACTTGGAGGAGAGACAAATATCTCAGGCTGGTGGGACGGAGAAATCTTTCCTCCCGCTGGATGATCGATTCTTCCAGAGCAGTATCCGTGATCTAGGATATACTCAGGGGTTGGAGCAAAGATTGGGAGGACCGGTAAATCTTGTAGATCTCCGTCCTGACTCTGTGTTCCCAGAGTCCGGACCTGCAGATCTGACCATTACATCTAAGGACGTATCCAACAATAGATCAGATTCAAGAGATTACTTCTCCGGAGTTCATCCCTCCCTCACCTCCTCTTCCAGGCATTCCTTTAATAAACCCCGTCCATCCAGTCCGCACAGCTCAGGGTCCCGAATGTACCCAGAGTCACAACGCAACCATTTCATGTCTCCCCGATCCCAACCCGACCCTTACCGATCCTCCGAGTTGTTCCGTCCTTCGCACTCTGATACACGGAACCAGGGGAACAACAACGAGCTGGAGGTACTTGAGGAGAACTCTTATAGGTCCCTACATGATCTAGGATACTCCAGACAGCAGCAGAATCACTACTATGATCAGATAGATCCCTACGTGCTCCTGCCAAGGGGTGGAGGAGATCTGGAGGATAATTACGACAAGAGACATAAATATTATAGACAGGATAAATATCCTAGGACGGAGGAGTTAAATCTTCTCAATACTAGACAAGACGGAGGGATTCTTCCTCCTCTTCTAGCTCTGAACACGTCCCTGCCGCCCGGACACAACCCTGCTCCTTCTCCTCCCAGCATGAAACTTGATTATATCTGTAGTCCTAATGATAATCTGTCTTCCCAGTATATGCCAGATGCAACTTTAGATTATTATTAATCTTTTCAACCATTGTTAATCAATTTTCAAAAGTAACGTATTTTTAATTGACTCTTAATTTTCTCAAGCCCCTCCTCGTTTTTAACATTTCTCAAGCCCCTCCTCGTTTTTAACATTTCTCAAGCCCCTCCTCGTTTTTAACATTTCTCAAGCCCCTCCTCGTTTTTAACAGAAATTTCGAAGTTGTTTTTACCACGAATTGTTTCTACAAAAATTGTTTGCGGATATTATCTATTGATACTTTATTAACGGTGTAAATGGTAGCACCGCTTTTAATTGGAGGTTTTCATGGATTAATTCAGGTTAGGTTGAAATTAAGTTATAATTAGATCTTGTAGATCTCACTATTTTACACTATAAACCAATCCCAAAATTGCCGAAGTTTAAGTCTATAATATGTAAAGGATTTATTAAAATGTATATTATGTAAAGGATTTATTAAAGCAATTAATTCACCAAAAATATAAACATTACTCTTTAATTATCTTTATAATCTTTGTGAATATACGGGATAAAATTTTTTTACTTAATTAAAATTCATTATTTTATTATTAATCAGCTATACAGGTTTTATGGTGAACTTAATTTGCCTTCATAAGAAACAAAATCTTCCAAGTAATTATGTTATAATTTATTGTTAAAGTCAAATTTTGATTTTGATTTTAATTTCATAATTACTTAAAGTTTTTAAGGAATATTAATGAACAAGAATGTAAATGATTTTACTAGAATAAGAGGTGAAAGGGTTGAAGAATTTGTTCTACGGATAACAGCTTTACCCCGACTTCAAGTGAAGAAATAAGACTATTTTGCAAACCAAAATTCGAATCAAATAAGTCGATCTAATTTCGAATTAAGGGATTAGAAATTAATTAAACCATGAAACGTTTTTACGCGAGTTTGAAGATACTGCTAAATGTCGTCTTCAACATTGATTTATGAAATCGCAATTTTTTTTTGTAATTTATCCTAGTCCTTAAGTTCAAATAAAACAATAAACCCATTAACGATTTGCGTAACAGATGTCAACAATTAAGTCATTTATGTATTAATGTGAATAAGAATTATGTATATCGTAAATAATGATGAATGATATTAAATATAAATGTTATTTATGTACTGTTAGAGAATGGTTATGTTATATTATACAATTTCATGTTTTCACTAAATTCTTATCCTTTGTGGGGTAATCCTTTCATCTTTCCTCTTTTATGTACATCTTTAATTCATCATGACCATACTGTTTTGTCACAAAGTAAAAGTAATGTTAGCTAACTGGTCATGTTTGATGATTATTTAAAACTTATCTCCGTTATTATGTATGTAAAAGTTTACTTTTTATATTGAATTATGTTATTTTTGAATTGAATAAGAAATTTACTTTTTTCAGAATATGTCCTTCTATTATTTGGGAAACTAGACCTGGGGATCTAGTTAGGATCCAGATTCTCCTGTTCTGCTTGAAGAGTATCCGGAGTTCCTGACCTAAGTACCTGGTTAAACCAGATTCTCAAGGTCTTAAGAGTACCTGGAGTTTGGCCTTAGGATCTAGTGAAACCACCATTCTCCGGATCCAAGGATATGATGTAGTTTTAAAACCAGATTCTCCAGATCTGAAGTGTACCTGGAGTAGTGATTAGACATATAGGAGTACCTGGAGATTTCATCAGGCATATAGGAGTACCTGGAGATTTCATCAGGCATATAGGAGTACCTGGAGATTTCATCAGACATATAGGAGTACCTGGAGATTTCATCATTCTGTATTTCTCAAGGTATGTAACTAAGCTAGTTATGGTTTAGTGAGCATCAAATCTGAACTCAAAATATTATTCTTAGATTAGGTAAAAAATTTGTCACTATTATTCACAAATAAACATTTTTTAAATATTGATTAATCCTTAGTAAAATATTATCCAACCTGCTGTTATGACATTCTTCTTAATCTATATAATAAATCTCTTCGCTCATATGTCAGCTACTGCTGGCCAAACGGCTGGACCAAATTGGCTGAAATTTTTTAAGGAAACCCAGGGGGTAACATAGGCTAAAAAAAATTCTAAAATCGAATTGTTTTTTTGAAAATTCTTTTCACGGGCAACGCCGGGCACTCCAGCTAGTTTTATAATAAAACAAACAAATTGTTGATAAGTTCGTGTGTTTCATTTATTTTTATTTTTAAAAGTTGAGGTGTGCACTGTGTAAGGGGTTACAATGGGAAATATTGCCCTGCGGAGTAAGATTAAAACCAAGTTCTCCAACAAGTTCTCCAGGTCTAAGAATAAACCTGAGATTCCGTCTCCTGGAGTTAAGGATGAAAAGGAGTGTGTGTCGTTGTTGGAGAGGATGACAGATGATGATTTCATGTATTTTCTAAAGGTAAATATAGAATCGAAAATCAATAAATAAAATGTTTTTCAAATTATTTTTTGAAATTTAAAATCGCTTTCATAGTTGTATCCAATTTTCTAGCGTCACACAATAATCTTTTACAAAAGGCTGAATAATATATTGTTTCGAAATGTTTAATTAAAGCAAAACAACTTTTCACAAGTTTTTTTTTACACTTGTTATTGATTTTGATTATGCAATTTCGCAGAAGATTTTCTTGTTATTGTTTTAAGTAATACATCTTTTAAATTGTTAAGAACATATCTTGTATCAAATCATAAGCTATGTTGCGACATGTTGTTTAATAAGGTATAATGAAGACGACAGAGAATCAGTCATATGTTTTCAAGCTATCGCTGTATTGCTCAAATTTTATAATTTTAAGGAGGAACAGAGAGTCGAACAAAACGCCGACCATAGGCTCAATCCTTATTGTTTCAGTTTCTGTCAAAGAAGGATAAGATGGCTCTAAGAATTGTAAACACAACAATGTTGAGAAGAATAAATGAGCTGGAGAATACCTTCAAGGTGTGGAGGCCGGTTCATGGAGTAGATGCCATCAAGCTGAGAAGATTAGCAGATGAAATACAGATTGTTCAAGGTATTTTTACTAATATTTTATAATAAAATAAATTTCAAAGCTGTGCATGCAGTATGTATTACAAAAAATAAATAAAATGTCGGAATTAAATTTCAAATTTAACAATTATAATTATTCTTGATTATAAATCACTATTATTTTCTGGTAATTTTGCCAAATTTCTGACACTTTTTGCATCTCAAAAATTAAACTAATACATAGAAATTTACTTACGTTATTCTAATCTTCCATTTTACAAATGATTCTGAGTTTGAACTATCAAAAGCTAACACCTTTACAGGGTGTAAAGATTTAGGGATTAGAAAATTTGAGTTTGTACCAAAAACTTAATTCCTTTAACTTAAACTTAAATTGAACAGTATGTTCATATTTTGCTATAGATCCTTTGCATGGTTATTTATATTTCTTGTTTGATTCAGATTTGGAGATTTCTGTTTTTCCTTTGGCTGGTTGTGGTCCAGTATTTAAGTATTTGACGGAGAAACACCAGGAACTGAAAACCATCAACATTGATGCGGTTTACAGTTTGTCTTCTTTCGTGGAGGACGAGGATGAAATCCTTCTGTCCGTATTCTCCGTAATAAACATGAGAACTGTATATATTACTGGGATCAGGATGACTACTGGAGAAGTATTAGATCAGCTCCGGGTATGTATTCCGAACCTGGAAAAACTAAACCTTGTCAAATGTTCTGCGCTAACAGATCTTGGAATCTATGAGATACTAAGAATCTCTGGAACTAGCCTAAGAGAGTTGAGTTTAGCAAAATCTTGTTTAACCGGAATAAAGTTAAAAAACAAGGAAGTATCTCTGGTAAACCTGGAGAAGCTGGACTTACAAGGTTGTTCTTATCTCACCAACATCGGACTCTGGAATATTATTAGAATATACGGAGAAAACCTGAAAGAGTTGAACTTGTCTGAAACTGTCATCACGGGAATATTTCCAGAACAAGGACGGATTTGTCTCCCAAACCTTGAAAAGTTGAACTTACACAAGTGTTCTCGGTTTACAGATAAAGGGTTGGAGCGGATCCTGAGTATGTGTGGAAGTAATCTCAGAGAACTTGATTTATCTGAAACTGGTTTAGTCGAGTGTTCTTTTGAGTCGGATACAGTAGAGCCTCCTAATATCGAAATATTAAACCTATCAAGGTGTTCAAAACTGACTTACGGAGGCTTCTCTAGGATTTTGAAACTCTGCCAGAATTCTCTGAGAGCATTGTATTTGCAGGAAACTGGAACCACCAGAGCAGGGTTCCAGGACGGGTTTGACTTCCTTCCTCTTTTAGAGAAACTTAGTTTGAAATCCTGGCATAATCTAAGAATGTCAGGACTCAACGAAATACTGAGAATTTCAGGATCTAGTTTAATAGAATTGGATTTATCCGAGATTAAAACTACAGGGATCGGGTTCAGCTCCGGGTTGAATTCTCTCCCAAATTTAGAAAAGCTGATTCTAGGTCACCAGTCTACTCTGGAGGACCAAGGAATCCGGGAGATTTTAAAAACTGTCGGAGACAAACTCAAACAATTAAATATCTCCGCAACGAATATTTCCGGAGTTGGATTCAACCATGGATCCATATGTTTCCCAAATCTGGAGATTCTAACCCTAGAGTACTGCTTCAACCTGACGGATAAAGGTCTCCCAGACCTGCTCAGTATCTCTGGGAGTAAACTGAGAGAACTGTATCTCTCTGGGAGTAGAATAACAGGGAAAGGTTTGAAGAAGAAGCTGAGACCTTTACCGAACCTGGAGATACTAGGACTGATTGACTGTCGGACCATGACAAAACGAGGACTGAAGGAGATTATGAAGGTGTACGGATCTACGGTAAAGTCTGTTTATGTTCACGGAGCAAAAATGTCCCCGGAGCAGTTTGAAAAGGTTCAAAGAAGATACGCAAGTGTTCAAAGTATGACTTACAGACAGTTCTATTCTGAAGTTCAAGGAAACCCTGTTTTCTGATAAATTTTAGAAACATAAACTTTTCCCTTCTCCCGCTTTAAACTAAAACAAGCTCTCACGCAAAAGCCTCACGAGATTTTGCCAAATAATGAAAGCTAAAAAGAAGCGCTTTGAAGCATAAAACTAATTATGTTTAAGTCTACTAAAAAGTATAATTTGTATGGTAAGGTCAAACCAAGCGTTTAATCCTGCCGACACTTCAAAGTCGGCTCGGTCTGATGATGCATAACTTTCATACAGTGGCCGGCGATTATATCAATACAATTAATACGACATTACATTAATAATGCTTTGATCCCTAACAAATTTTTTAAATTACAAGTTAAAAAATAATTAGCAGCTGTTAACAACTTCTTTTTGTTTACATGTTTAAAAGATTGGTAGAAAGTTAAAATAGAATTATAAAGTTGTCTTCATTGTATTGATATATTCGACGACGGCTGTAGTTAGTTTTCATCTTTACATCTTCGGCTAATACAGATTTTGACCAATCTTCATAGGTTTCCCAAATTCAAAATTTTCTACTAATTACAGATTGTCTTTTGTAATAATTGAACCACGCAAAAAACTAATTCTGAAATTCTAAAGGTTTTGTAGTTTTTAATTATTAGTATTATGTAGATATTAAGGTATTTAATGTCTATAATGTCTTTATAATTATTTTAGCTTCGAAACCAAGCTTTGCCTGAAAATTTAAATTTCCCTAAAATAGTCAACCTACTCAATTTATAATCTTTGAACCAAGCTAAGAACGTTTTCATTGGTTTACCGAGTGCCTCAATCAAAGGAATTGAGTTCATGCAATAAACTCAGATTTTCTATTTTCTCTATATTTACATCCCAATGTTGTAGCACCTTTCCAACTATACCTTAAATCAAAAAATTAAGATTGAAATAGCAAAGGTTTACACCATCAGGTTACAAAGATAAAGGGATTACAAAATTTGAGTTTGTTGCTAACATTCAATTTCTTTTAGACATTTTCTTAGTTATGATCGGACAAACAAACATACACCAAAACATTAAACAGAGATTATATATATATAGATTTAGGTATTTTTTTACTCTAAATGTCAATTTTTGTATCAATGTTATGTTGCTACATTTTGTTCAATTTTAGCGCGAGGACGTTTATTCTTCATATTTATCTTTTATAGTGAATACTCAACCTATCTTGCTCAACAAAAAGTACGAAACAAATAATACCTCAATAGATAAACAAGCCGAAGCTTCTTATGAATAAGTATTCGAGAAAAAAAATTGTGTTTATGTCTAAAATCTTGTTAATGTTTAACTTTAAGGAACAAATCTGATTGAAATTTGAACGAACCTGGACAATTTGTATAAAAAAGAATTGACAGCTTTCTTAAAAGTTTATAATTTTTAATCTTGCTTTTTTATATGCGCAGTTTTTTACAAAATAATAGAGAATTGTTTACTTGTTGTTGATATTTAACTAAACTGTGATTGATATTTAGAATATTTACAGACTGGAGACTTTTTATTATATTTATATAAATACTGTTAATTAAATTTTGTATAAATTTAGTTCTTTAGTTTTTTATTGTTAACTTTTAAGATTTGATTGAAAATAAAAAAGGAGAAAAAGATATTTTGATTTAGACGTTGAATCTCTTTACAGGTCTCAAACACTAACCCTGTAATCTTGATTATGCATTTTTGAAAAGGAGCTTTTAGAGAACTTCCCCTTCGACAGTTAGATATTAAAGCTTAATTTTTTCAATTTAACGAGTTGTGCCTTTTTATATTCATTTTTTATATACAGTATGGCTGAAAACTGGAGAATAGGAAGACGACCTTTAAGCAATATTGAAGTGCATTTGATGTTGTTTTAAAGAAAATTATTAAATCACTTATTAAATGAAATGGGTCTGTTTACAATGCACATTGGCTGTGTTTAGTTTTCATTAGACTATTTAATTTTTAATTGTTGGGTCTGTGGAGAAAAGTAAATATTTAATTCTCTTTAAATAACCTCAGAATAAAAGTAATGATTTTAATTTATGTTTTAATTAATTTATGTATAATGCCGCAACGAACGAAAAACACAAAGTTAAGTCTTCTAGGAAGAAATGTCGAAGAACCTCGAAAAAATACAGGTTGTGGAAAAAAATACTTTTAAAGAAAAGAATTATTTCAGGTTCATAGGAGGCTAATTGACTTCAACTTTTTACGATGAACTTTCAGTTTTTAGTTTTTTATTGCCAAAGTGAATAAATACCTAAGTGGGCCAAACTTCTTGTTGGATGACGATAATTTCTGGCCCGACTCGTCTTTATTCTGTGTTTTTCACTAAAGTATTTATTCACTTGTTTTTTTTGGCGCTGGACGCACTGGCAGGTTCTTGTACTTGCGGTTTATGCCACATGAAAAATTGTTTAATGCTGATAAGGTTAAATTGTTTTGACAAGGTTGGATGTTGGGACGAGTTTAGATCAGTTCTTCTCCAGGTCTAGATACATATATTGCCAGGAGTCCTCTCTAATCTCAGCAGGGAGGATCAGGATTCTCTTCTAGCTCTTCATATATACAGGAGATATTCTAGTTCTTCATATATACAGGAGATATTCTAGTTCTTTATATATACAGGAGATATTCTAGTTCTTTATATATATGGGAGATATTCTAGTTCTTCATATATACAGGAGATATTCTAGTTCTTTATATATACAGGAGATATTAGGTCTGCATATATACAGGAGATATTCTACAGTAATAGGCGATTTCAGTTTTCATTTATACCAAGCTGTTAAACATCATGAATACACATAAAAGTATAAGTCAAAAGAATCTGTCAAACCAAAAAACCTCTATTTGATTACTTGCAAACTTGTAACTTGAAAAAACCTTGTAAATAATCAAAATAAAATAAAATAGACGTCTTCGTTGTATTGATATAATTGCCTACCATTGTAGTTCTTCGTGCAAATAATTCGTTTTTATTCTTAATCTTTCCACAGAACAGCTAGCGTTTACAAAAAAACATTTATTAAAGTCTCATCCTTGGTGGGTAACCCTATCCGTATCAAGTATCTACCTTCATATTTAGATGTTTTTGGCACCAGGGTGTACAGTTTTACCTCTCGAAAATAGAAGACTTGAGACGAATCTTGAGTCCCAGATCGTCCTTTAACTCTCATAGAAGACTTGAGACGAATCTTAAAGAGTCCCAGGTCGTCATCTAACTCTCATTCTTTATATACAACTCTGTTTCATTTATTTGTACAGTGTTATCCACAAATAATGAGACTTGATATGATTGTGTTGGATCTAAAAAGTTCCATGGTAGTCATTTATGTCTCAACTTTATAAATAAACCTGTATGAATTGTAAAAAACAGGGTTACCCACAAAGGATGAGACCTCAGAGACGACTGTACGGAAGTAACGATGACTCCTTATATTTAAGATTCCCTGCAACCGTGAATTTTTTTATTTCTTTGCTCAATCATTAAAAAGAACATAATGAGACTATTCATGGCAGAATTCTAAGCGTTATATTTGAAGTGTTTCAGGTCGTCCTTACAGTCTCATCTTTTGTGCTTAACCCTGTCTAACTAAGTGACTAAAATATGATTGAACTAAGAAGATACCCTGCTGAGATGTCAAGTATATTTAATATCCGTATCATTGACTTCCCGCCTCTCTTTTTATTATCTAAAATAATCCTGATATCCGTCCTTTTGTATTCCATGTCCTCAAACTCGACTTAAGGGGGGGAGGGAGGAGGGGGACGTCCCCCCAGGAAAAAGTTGGGGAGCAGCGAGAGAAATGGGTCATCTTTTCTCAGCTGCTCCTTTAACTTGATATTTAAGGTTTGATTTTTTAAATTTTGTCTTATCACTCTGTTCATTTTCAAAGAAAATTCTTAAATGGTGCACCACACTTTCCCCTCCCAACCTTTAACATGTCACAGTGTTCACAGTAAAAATATATAAACCTTGATACACTTCCAGGGGGGGGGGGGAAGCTTTTTGCCAGGAGGATAACAAATTTCATTCAATTATTTCCTTCCCCCCTGAAAATATTAAAAGCTGTCCCTGTCTGTCCTCATATTTGTTGTCTCCTTGCTTGATCCAACGGAATTGAGTCTTTGTCACTAACTCAAGTTAAATAATCCATATATATATTTGCAACCTGATGGTGTAAAACTTTGATATTTCAAACTTAGATTATTTAATTTAAAAGAATTTATGGTTTGAATTGAGTTGCAAAGAAAGGGATTGATCAGAGTTTACGACAAATCTCAATTCCTTTTCCAAAAACTTCGTTAATCTTTGACTTTTTCATTCTTCCCATCTGATAGTTTACTTCTCTATTCTCTAGATATTGTTCCTCGCTTTATATATATTTGATTACAGGAGATTATTGAATGTATGGGAGTATCTAGGTACCCCGGAGGGTACAGGGAGGAGATTATCAATCATAAACACCCAACCTGGAGATGGATCTAAGGAAGATAAATCAGGAACCACCATATCTTTGTTTTCAAAATAAATGTACTGCAGTTTCTAGTAGGAATATAAACAAAACTTGATAATTTACATGATTAATGAAAATTAATTAATTAACTACATAGATTTTAGATACACGTTTATTTTTATAATAGTACGTGTAATTCTTAAATTGTTAGGATCCTCCCCTCTCTTCCTCTTTTCCTGATTCCCTTTACCCTCTCTATCAAACATATTTCATTGTGTAAGACCTGACCTATGAATGTCAGACTGAACGACGGCTCTTTATGTCACGTCTGAGTCTCTGGCTTTACTGTATTTACATTTACCACTTTAACTCATTTATGCTTTTCTTTAGACCTTTACATGTAACTATAAAGCACTAGTTTTTAGCTTTGGAGTTAGAAAATCAATTGGCAAAATTCTCATCGATTTTCGCTTGAGAGCTGGCAACATTTAAATTACAGTGTATAAAAAAAACTTTTTATAAAAGCAAAACTATATGGGTTCCCGGTTCCAAGGATGGATCAAGGTTTTAGAAATAAGGCACGATAT